GTTTAGTTTAGTTTAGTTTAGTTTAGTTTAGTTTAGTTTAGTTTAGTTTAGTTTATTGTCATTGCATTGTTTATCAATGTCCCCACAGGCTTATCTATTTATCCCACAGGAAAACTAAGAGCAATAACATAGGATCACCTCTTCATAGTGTACATGATTCAGGGTAATAATAGCTTTAATTTCATTTCTCAAAACATCTGGAGCACATCCCAGAGATCATACATTCCTACCTTTACAACTTGGAAAACGTGAGCACTTATTTTCTATACATATTATAGTACTTGATCCAGATATTTCAAAACCATCCTTACACTGGTAATTTATTTTCTCGCCATTCATGTACTTCTCCATTGTATCGTCAACAATGTCAGCATTTTCAACTATAGGGGGTTCTGTAAAGTTTGTATCTAAATGGAGAGATGATGCAAAGGCATGGTGATTGTTATTTACTTTGCTTAATTTATTATTAGGAATAAAGATAACAGTGCTAGGATTTTTCAGACATGCAAAAAGATCAAAGCAAAAGTGTTCAATATTTACTTAATTTGGGCTTTAAGAATATTTTACCATATCAGCTTAAGAAGGTTTTTTTTAGAATAGTCCTCTATGTTCAATTTATCCATAAGGTCTATTCTCATATTTAATAGAAAAGGAAAAATGAGTGAAGAAATAATCTGCTTTATGGATGTTGAAGAACTGTCTGAAATAACTGTGGCTGTTATATTTGTTGGTGGGAACAAATTGTTTCCTAGGCCATATTAATGAGAATAGATTTTAAAACATGGATTTATGTCAGGTGAGTATTCCAATGATCAGGCATAGAAGTTTTAGAAATGACAACTGAAGCATAAAGGATAGGTTGTGTCAGGTCCCTAAAGTGTTACTGCCATTCAGTTGGGAGAAGGGGGGAGCCTTGTGATTTATTCTTATTGCCTCTGACAACTGCCATTTTATAACTTGCACCAGAGCACCCTGAGATTTTCTCACCTTTTGGAGAATGTATTGGGGGGGGGGCATGTGGGTTGTTTCACTCTGAAAGTCAGCAGAAGATGGCTATGAGAATGCCTGCTTATCTCCTTCTCAGGATGGCTGTTACAATAACACCTTCACACCTATGGATTGGCTGAATACATATCTGACTGGAGGAAGGGAATTCTGCTGCCTTAAGTCTCACTGTATTGCCTAAGGGAATTCAGACTCTGCTTTGATTGTCCTGCTTTCACTTCTGCTCAATAAAACGTTCCTTTTGAAATACTCAGTTTCAAGAGTCTTCAGTTTCTTGAGTTAGAGGGAGAGGCAGATCCTTACAGTCTGCAAAATGGTCGACCCAGAGAAGCAAACTTTCGCTCTACTGAGGGGAACATACAAACCATGTCCAAGCAAAGCAGCAAGCTTGAAGAAGCCAAATGCTGGGGAGAAACCTCCACCAATACCCAGCCAGATGCCTGCTCACTGTACCCCATCAGAGAGGCTGAGGTGACCCTGGAAGATCATGAAAAGCCCCGCTGGTCAATCGGCATCAGGAAGAAGGACACTGGCACCCATCACAATCGTTTTAAGGTGAATGGGTGGAAATGCTATTGTACCATCTTGTCTACAGTATTCTATTGTGGTAGCACATCCTCTTATCATGTATCCTGTTGCAACTAAATAAGTATTTTAGATATGTGTAAAATCTGCCAAAATGTTCTGGGTGAAATAAATTCCTTAGGCAAAAATAATTTGAAAATTATATGAAATAATGTTTCAAAGTACACTTCTGCAGAGTTAAATGTCTTAGCCCTTCTATAATCATAGCAATACATGGAAGTTCTACTTACTGACACATTTTGGTGAAGGTGACCATCCATTTCTCGTGCACTCAACTACCTTTTCTCCATTATCAGGTTCAAAAGTAAATCCACTGTCACACAGAATTCGAATTAGATCCCCATCGTGGTATAAAGTTCTTTGAGGTCGGAAAGAACCATTTGATATTCTTGGAGAATTGCATGTAATTTCTAAAGAAAATAAATCATATCTTATATTGGAAAAAAAAAGCTTACATTCATATCAGATTATGGGCCTTGCTTTCTATCAGCATAGAAAACAATAGCATTATTTTTTAAACATCCATAGGACCATGAGACCATTTTCATTAGCAGTCATGCATACTGATGGGCATTAACTAATTTAAAACTGCCATTTAGTATCTAAAATATACTGTGAAATCAACCAATTTGATTTAAAATACTTTTAGTAGCCCTTGGCTACTATTTATTTGGAGGATTGCAAGCAAACTTAGCAAGTTGCTATAATTATTCTTCCCTTTCAATCTAAAGCTACAATCTGATATCTCTATTCTTGCAGTTCCATCCCACACTCAGTCCCAGCAGTGTTTTCAGCCACCTGCAAAAGGATTGCAAATTAGAGGCTCCACATTGCAGTGGTTCAGCTCCTGCCTGAAGTTACAGTTTTGGTTAACAATAACAGGGGAAAGAAGTCAGGCCTTCAAATGCTTTGTGATGGAGCTTCCCAGACTTGTCTCTTTTCCCATTCTGTTCAAATTCTGCTCAGAATTAGGAGCGGTCATCTATCTATGATGATAGCTCTCAGGTAGTGGATCACCAACAACAATATAGATGGACCATTGGGGTGATGATGGATGCATTGCTGGAAGTCCTGAAGGATAGACTGGGACAAATTTCCTGGAGAATATTAATGAATGAGATTTCTGAGAGTGGATATCACCTTCTTGGCATGTACTTAAACAATTAATTATCTCCTCCTGGGATTGCCCTGGGGGTACCGTCAAAACATCAACTGGTCTAGAATTCAATAGCCTGTATGCTCAGTATATACTCTTAGATCTGCTATGTTACATCACTGCTGCAAAACTTGCACTGGCTACCAATGTGCCTCTGAGTACAATCCATGAGGCTGGACATGACTAGTTCTTTATAGCTCAAGTACGAGGCATCTATGACATTGAGTTTTCCAACTAACAACAGTTTGTCTAACCTGGGTGGCAAGAGTCCCCGGCTTTCAAATTAGTCAGGGAGTGATATTTCCTTGCAGCTCCCCTCCTTAGGAACAGCTGCCCTAAGTAGAGAATGGCAACCATTCTCCTGGTTTTCTTGAAGCCAAGAGTGAGTGTAGGACCACACAGATTTATGTCTATATGTGTGCCTTTTTCTTTTCTTTTTTTCTTTTTTTTGAAAATTTTAATGATTTTTAAAAACAAACATAAACAAACAGAACATAGAACATAAAAACATAAAACATCTTTTTTGAAAGCAGCCTGATCCCGGGTTACATCTCTTCGTGCAGACACAAATTCAAGTTCATGCTCATTTTTATATTCCATTCCATATCTTATTATCATTCTACATTTTCTATATGACTTCTCCCCTCTTTCAATTTTCTTAATTTTATTTTATTTATTTCATCTCAATTCAAATCATCATACTTATATTCTTTGTCTGTCCTATTTCAGCTGTCTATAATCTTTTCTCATTAAGCAAAATTTCTCCTGTGATCCTGTGGAGTATGACGCCTTTATATCTTTCCCCTAAAATTATAACACTTAATATAATACATAACTTCCGTTCGGATTCTGCTTGGTACATTCTAAAACTACACAATGTATTTAAAAAAAAGAAAAAATTATAAATATATAACATAATTAAAACAACAATCCATACCAATTCAATTCTATCATTAATATTAATATTGATTTAAATCTTGAACATTTAACACATTACTTTTCAAATAAGTATCATACTTCTATGGGAACACTTATAAATTTTCCATAATTACTTCCCTCCCACTTCACTTATATTTTATAAAACATTGAGTGGTTAAAATGTTCCCATTCCTTCCTAATTCAATTCTCTCATTTATTTCATTTCATTTATTTTGTTCACAAAAGTTTCAGTAAATTTCACAGACTATTTTATTCCACTTTTTAATCATATGTTGTTTCCAATTTTCTAACAGTATTTCTATTACAAATATAACAATACAATCCAGAATCCCTTCTTCAGTTAAATTTTCACCCATTATCTCTGAATAAATCCTGTTTCTTTACATCTTGCTCCAGACCTTTGTAACTTCTCTTCCCTTTCTTCTTCTTCTCTCTCCCCTTTTTACCCCCCTCTCTCTCCACCTCCATTTCCCTTTTCTGTATTCCCCTTTTCTGTTGCTTTCCAACCTTATATCCCCTTTTCACATTATTTTTCCCTTTTGGGGCTGTTTTTTAGATCTTAGATTCTCCATTCTCTTTCCCCCCTTTCCCCTTTCTTCCCCAGATAGAATTTCTTGTTCATTAAAGATGGCTTCTTCTTTATCCCAATCTTCTTGTTGCACAGTCTTTTCTTGTTGTTTCTTGTAGACACCGATCACCATTTCTAAGAATTGAAAAGTGGAGCCAAAGGAGCCCTTCCCTTCTTCTTCCTCTTCTTTATATTTTTTAAATTCAATTTTCAGTTCATTCAGTTCATCCTGAAGTGATGCCATTGTAGAGTGTTTTTTTTTAAACAACCAGCCAATTGTTTTTAGTCATTCAAATATGATTTCCCAAAATCCTAAAGTCACCAAACAATCCAAATACACACAAACTGTTTCTTTTAACCCTTTCTTCTTTTTTCACTTTCTCTTCTTGGGGTTACTATTTAGTTGCAAAACTTTAGTTCCAGTTAAAATGTATCCTTTAGAAGTCTTGTTAAGATGTAACTTTAAATTCTTTTGAGTTCCAGGCAGACTCCTCCTTCCAAGTCCTGCCCTTATTCTTTTCCTCTCCCTTCCCACTTATAGCAAAAAAAGGATTTTTTAGTGTTCAGAAATATTTATTGTCCCTTTGGCATTTAATTATATTACCAGTTTAATTACCTGTTAGTGCCAAAGTGGATTTTTTGGATTTCTTTATTCAGATCTTCTCGTTATCAGTGTGAGGAAGGAGAGTGAAGAAAAAAAAACTTTCCCTTTTCACTTTCGTTCACTGTTTCCAACTCTTCTTTGGGAGCGATGTATCTTTTGTAACATTTAAATTCCAGGGTACCTTAGTTGTTGCTTTTTGTCCCAGTCAGCCAAAAACTTTCACTTCTTAACTTCCTCCTGCACTTTCTTTTCCAGCTGAGTGCTTCTTTGAGGCGGCCATTTCTGACCGCCGCTCTTACTGCCTTCGGGAAAGGGAGTTTAGCCAGCTGAGGAGGAGAGGTGCTGCTCCCCTCGACCCTGCTGGGTCTCCCCCATCTTCACCACCTCTACAGGGTGGCTTAGCCCCAAAGCAAGCTGGCTCGGGGCACTCCAGCAGCGAGCCCAGGCAGAAACCGCACATGATCATGGATTCCTGCCTGCTGCCAAAGCCCTGCAAACCAGAAGTCATGTGTACATTTTTCTTATGATTTATTCTTAGTCATGATTTTACAGAATTTTAATTTTTGATTATTTTATTGCTATTTTAATATCTGTAAACTGCCTAGAATCCATCAGGATCAACAGGGTACAGAAATAGCATGAATGCATAAACAAAGAAACATCTCCATGATGTTGCCTATGGTGGAACAGCTGGTTCTGGGAGATGTTGAACTGCTAGAATTGTGAGACGTCCTTCACTAGACATCCCCTAATCTGTTAGTGCTAAAATTAGAAGCACAGCAATATTCTTCACCAGTAACTAAAGAATTTCCTATAGTCTTGTTAGAAAGGGAGTTGGAATTTCTATTGGTATTGATATTTAGATTTTTGTATGGCAATAGTTTATAAATTCTTTAAAAAATGGAAACAATAGTAGCTCAGCTATGGAGTTTATTGTCAGCAAAAGCAATTACTGTATTTTTAAAGATATAAAAATATTGCCATGCAGATATATTTCCCTATGTTGATGAAACAGCAGACTATTTTTTGGCGGGGGGCCTGTAAATCTGAAGAGTGCAAAGTGCACTTTTTGCATTAACTTGGACATTAAACAATGGAAGGATCTTTCATTGCACCACTCCTCTCCAGCAATCTGAAGCCTTTCACGTTGCTCTATTTCAACTATATCCCAAGAGTTCTATTGGGCCTTTTCAGCATAGAAAAGTGCAGCCCAGGAAAGAAGGCGGAGCCTCCTCACCGACAGATGGTAGATCGCAACCCTCTGTGGCTATTGTTCATGCTCTTTCGTCAGAGAGCCCCAATCATCTTGATTAGGGGCTGAAACTGCCTTGGAGGGGCAGTGGAGTAAGAGGAAGCAGCAAGCCAGATTGTGGGGAGCCGCATCTCCCCCCTCTGGGCTTGGCTTTTTTTCCTCCCGAAGATGACTGCAGCGATGGTCTAAAATGGCCATCCCGAAGAGGATGACTCAGCTCAATTAAGATTTGTGCAGGAGAGAAGAAAGAAGTGGATAACATCTGAACCGGGACAACTGGGCAACATAACCAAATAAAAGTACCCCGGGATCAAGGTAACGTAGAATTTTTAAGAAAAGAAAAGCGAGCGGCGAAATTACAAAGGGACAGAGAAAAAAAGAAAAATATTTTTGACAGCTAAATGGGGCTTCGAACTGGGAAAGAAGAAGCTGGAATTAAAGATTTAATGAAATTGGACTAAAATAATTTGGGAATAAACAAGTATAAAATTAAAGCTGGACTTAAGATTGTTAAAGAATAATAATAACAATGTTTACATATTGGAGACTGGACTGTGTTGGAATATTGAGGTTCAAAAAATCTTAAATAAAAATACAAGGGGAAAAAGTGAAGACTTTGTACAATGGAGAGTGTCACCTTTTGATAAAAATTTAGTTCAAATAAAAGGGAAAGCATCTTGTCTTTGAATGGACTGGTGTGGATATAACATTACAGAAATATTGAAACAAAGTAAGAATTTTAGAAAGTGAAAGCAGAACCAGAACAAAAGAGAAAGCAAGGAAGGAAAGATTGTGTGGGGGACTGATTGATGTTTTTGGTATAAACCCTGGACTGGAATACCTGAGAACTTTAAAAAACTGAAAGAAGAAAGAAGAGTAAAAGTGGTTTCTTTTTGTGGACTTTAATGATCATAAAATATAAGAATGATGATATCTCTTCAGGAATTTAAAATGGAACTCAAAAATATGAGAGAACTACTACAGGAAAGAGGCAAATCACTTTGCTCTGTGCTAGAAAAAATGGAAATGGGGATTATAGAACAAGAAGCAAGATTCTCAGAGGGGGAGGAGTCGATTCAAGAAGAAGACATTTCAAATAGACAATTAACACAAAGAACGCTATAAAGAAGTGGGGAAAGAAGGAAGGTTAAAAAGTTGAGTTTTAAGAAAGCAATTAAAAGAGGGAATACTTGTGAAGTCAGAAAAGGTAGGAAGATTCAGCAGAAAAGGGGAAAGGAAGATATTAAGAAAGAGACAAATTGGAATGAGAAAAGTTATGGGGAAAAAAGGGGGAAGAGAAGCAGTAAGAAACAGGCATGTGAGAGAAAGAAACACAGAACCAGTAAAATGTTGAAAGGGAATTGTTTCTTTACAATTAAAAGAAGGAATACTTGTGAAGTCAGGAAATGCAGAAAGACTCAGCAGAAAAGGGGAAAGGAAGGTATTAAGAAAGAGATAAATTGGAATGACGAAAGACATGGCGAAAAGAGGGGGAGGAGAAGCAGTAAGAAACAGGCATTTGAAAGAAACACAGAACTAGTAAAATGTTGAAAAGTAATGGCTTTTTCAGAGATAATGGTTGATGAATTAAAAAGGGGATTCTGCAGGGTGACATGGGGTAATAAGAATATCTTTGCAATTAAAAATACTTAGAAAATAGGGTAATATAGAAACTGATAACTCTTATGAGGGGGGGGGAATATGCTGTGGAATCCAATTGAAAAGATGTAATGACTAATGGTCTATTGGGAATTAAGATGAGGGAATAACGGTATATTCTAATCATTAAGGTGTTACACTCAAAACAGTAAAAGAGGGGAAACTTATACTTGTTCTTTTTTCTTTTTGTGTGGGTATGTTAAGATCTGTATTAATTTAGAATTCATAAAAAAATGTGTAATGGAAAGGGAATATGGCAGACTAAAGAACCAGCTAAACTAATAAGTTTAATATAGATTAATAAAAGCAAGGAGAGACATTGGTAACTTCATTATTATTACTATTAGGCAAATATATATTGTTTATTTTTATTTTTAAAATAAATATTAAGGATTATATTTGAAATAATTGAAAGGAAATAAAAAGATGTTTAGATTGAGATTAATGAAAGAATTTAGAATTAAACTTTATTACTATTTATTAGGCAAGTACATATTGTTTATCCTTATATTTAAAAATAAATACTAAAGGATTATTTTTGAAATAATTGAAATGAAACAAAATTGATTGAGATTAATGAAAGAGGCTAGAATTAATGTGTTCATTTCTCTCCTTACTGAAAATCTGGAATGGAAAACGTAATAATAGAATTAAGTATGCATATATCAATGTATAATTTCTGTCATATTTGTATGTAAAGATGATGACCCGGAAATATGTTGTCCACTAAAAATAGATTTTTGTTTTTAATGTGAAAAACTGAATAAAGTCTGTTTAAAAAAAAAAGAAAGAAAAGAAAAGTGCAGCCCAGCTGGGAATGCTTCAAGAGGAATAAAAATATTAGTACCAGTAAAGCACATAAATAATTGCAGCTTATTTTAGCTCTAATCATTAACAGACTCAAACTGAAGTGCTTTGGCTTTGTGTTGGTGATAGCAAAATTATAAAATTAAACTTTTGAAGTCACCTTTGCATTTAGGAATCACGGATGGTGTCCCATCACACTGGATTACAAAAGCTGATTGGGAAGAATATGCTTCCAGGACATATCCTGTTTTACAGGTCAGCTCAATAGAATGACCACGTTGAATAAATATATTTTCAGGCACATCTATTTCATCTTTAACATCTATTTTCTGGCTTTCCAATTCAGTCCTGGAGATCACACAGGGATCTGAGGTGGAAAAAGAAAGCAAATCCTATTAGAAAAGGCTGTTGGGATCCAAATACATCATATTACCATATTGCAAGATTTAGCTAGATTTAGCTTTCATCTAGTATCCACCTCAGATATAGGACTGAAATTGTATATAAAGGAAGCTGCTGCAGGCAACATCAATTAAATCTTTTTTATATGTGAGAAAGAGAGGGAGAGAGAGAGAGCGCAGTGAATCTTAATGATTAGAAATGCTCATGAAAATTGGATGAAGACTTTCTTTTCTGCTTACCCAGGCAAATAGGCACTTTTGTCCAGGTCCCATTGTCACAAAAAGATCTGTTCTGGCCTTCCATGGCATAATATGTTTGGCATCTGAATTCTACTGAAGAGCCAGATCTGTACAGTTTCTCAGATAAACTAATAATGTCTCCGTTCTCAATTCTTGGTGGACCACTGCAATTTTGCCCTCCTTCTAACAAATATGGAAGCATGGATGAAAAAGTAAATAAACTAAGAATTTCTTCTCTAAGAATTAACAGGTTAAATTGATCTAAATCATCTAAATGTATTATATATTATAAATGTATACACATACACACACACCATCTCTGTGTGTGTGTGTGCGTGTATAAATAAGTTCAAATTACACATAAACATATTCTGTCATTATTATGGAATCTATGACAAAATTTTTACAATATCATTTTTTCTTTGCAGAAAAGAATAATCTTTTCAAAAATTAACATTATATATTTTTGAATCCACTTCTTGATATTTAAAGTAATAGCAGTTTTCCAAACTTTTTTGGCTATGCATGATATAACCCCAAGTTCCTAAGAAAGTGTTAAATGCCTTCATTTTAGAATGTAATTCAAAATATCAAAAGCTTTCACATCTTTAACATAAAAACGTTTGCATAAATATTTCTATTTATTACAAGATTCTTCCAAAAGAAAACTAAAATTGGCCACGATCAAATTAAATTAGTTGATGTGCCCTTACATTTCTTATACCAACAACAAAGAAAATCTATTTCAGCCACAATCAGAAAAATTTCTGAAATAGTCTTTCAAGAGTACTATTAAACTCAGAAGAAAATTGTTTCATAAATTCATTTCAAACTCAAGTTACACTTAACACAAACGGTTAACATGTTTTAAAGTCTTACATAAATTGATACTCCATTATCAAATATTCCACGTCTTCACCCCATAAGTCAGAAATATCAGCATTTTCAACTTTAAAGATATTTTAAAATTTCCGATATAGTTTCAAATTCAATTTGATTAAATTGATTATATTGACACTCTTAAATTTTGGGGCAGGAAATTCTAGCTGAAGCTTTTGACATTCCTTAAAATAATAATTATAAAGAAATTGGTTTAACATTATTACAGATTCTGTTCATTTTTTCCAATAAAATCAGGTACAACCTATTAGAACAATCTCTCTCTCTCTCTCTGCCTCTCTCCCTCTCTCCCTCTCCCTCTCTCTCTGTGTTGCTCTATGTTGACTCAGATAATTGCCAAGATCGCTACAGAAATATATGAAAAAATGGTATGTGGGAATGACCTTGGGAGAAAGGGAGAAGATATGCAGCCAAAAGAACTGTCAGGTAAAAAGGTAACTCAGTCCATGCCAGGAATAGACAGGGCAAGCGGTTCAGAAGAGACCCTCCCAGTTTCATGGGCTATAAAGGGCACAGGGAGAAGGAATGTACTTTTGGACTGCAAGTTTCTGTTAAAGTAATCCTACCTTAACAGTGGAATTAGCTCATCTGATCGAACATCCTCTACAATTTACTTTGCAAGGCTGACACATAATCACTTTCTAATACAGACTGTAAAGCAGGGGTGGGATTCTACCGGTTCTATCCAGTTCTATAGAACCCCTTGTTAACTTTCTAAGCAGTTTGGAGGTAGTTAGAAGCAATCTCCTTTTGTTTGTTCTACATTCTTGGCAGACAGGCTAGACTTACTGTCTCCAGAGCTTTTGGGGCTTGGCTTTCTTAAAGGGGAAGGGTTGTTTTAAGATTTTTACACTGCTGTTGAGAGGAAATACTTCCCTGGACAATCAGCACTTTGAAGAAATAATTAAATAATGAAGCAAAGCTTTTAGTCACAGGGAACTAAGATGAGTGACATTCAGCAAGGCTTCTTGGCTAGTTAGAAAGATTAACATTCAAACGTGAATTTACATATCCTTTCTGAGTTTTGGTCTAAAACTGGTTTTCGGTGAAAGTTAATTCTGTGCTTGGAGATGTTTAAACCTGTGTTTATTGATGGGATAATTTTCCCTATTTAGCTTCAACAAGCAACAGCTACTGTTTTGATTTAATTATTTGTATTGTGTTTGAATTTTTTCTTGCCTCATGGTTTCTTTTTCTATCTGGGGAGGGGGTTTTCCTCACTGCTTTAGTACTATCTGGTACTGTCCTTTTGGGGTATACTTCCAAGAGGCAGGATGCAAGCTTGGCACTGATTTTTTTTATTGCCTTTCTGGAGGGCATGTGACATTTCCTTAAATCTGGATGATTTCCTTAGGATAGCTTCTGAGGTGAGTGAGACCAGCTGGTATTTTTAAGTGGTGCAAATGGATCTAAGGATTGCTTTTCTTGGGTGTATTTTTTCTGGAGAGCTTAAATGACCTCTCTGCTAAAGGTTTCACTTTATGAGCAAAAGTTGGTTGCTTGATAGTTATCACTGAATTTTAACTATTTTCATTCCTCAAGGTGCTCTGGCACCCTGCCTGATTTGTAACTCCGGCTTGCAGGTTTTTTTAATCTAATGATTGGTATTTAGGGAAGCTTTTTGCAAGTAAGGAAGCTTTTTGTATTTTTGTACAGGTAATCCTTGACTTACAACAGTTCATTTAGTGACCATTCAAAGTTATAATGGCACTGAAAAAAGTGACTTATGACCATTTTTCACACTTATGACTGTTGCAGCATCCCCACTGTCACGAGAGGCCAGGCGAGGAGAAGTGCCCTTGACATGAGTGGTGTCAAGTTGATCACGCCCATCCAGTCACATGACCACCAAGCCACACCCACCAACTAAGCCCTGCCCACAAAACCAGTTGTTTAAAAAACTGAATCCTACCCCTGCCCTAAAGGTCTTTCAGTTAAATTATTACACATAGATAGATATGATTAAATAACTGAATAGTAATATCAGTGTTATATTATTGCTCTTTCTATTGAATCTGTAACTGTATCTGTTCTATTGTATATTATATTGCATCTGTAATTCTCAGACCATTGTATGTAGATATTTTGAACTTTAGATGTTACTGTCTCACTTATATTAAACAACATGCAAAGAATTTACCTGTTAATTCACCAAGCATCCAATATTTTAATTTTAAACTCTTAAATTTGATCAGCATAAAAATCATCCATCAGCTCTGTGAGAGTAGCAACATATACTTTCTATTTATACATTGATTTAACCATAAAATACCTTCCAAGTTAAATTCTCTTTTAATAATATGAGATTAACATATTTTTAAGAAACCTTTGCAATTTGTGATACAAATTCCTATTAAGCATATTACCAATATTATGCATATTTTCAACTACAAGGAAACAGAATTCTTAACTGAAGTTCAAGATTTTGGATTGAGCCTTAGATACAATGTATACATTTGGGGAAATGCCAGAACATCCTTCTCCAATCTGACGTCCTTCAGATTTATTTTATTTTTTTAGATTACACTAATAAAATTCTAAGCCAAGAGGTGAGAGAGTTCAGTGAATATTAAATCACTTATAAAAGATTGAGATTTTAGAAGCAAATGTTAATATTCATTATGCTATATTACTTATTTTAATTAATTATAATCTTAGAGGGAATCCATGATACTGACAGCATGCTTACCAGAGATACATAATGGGAAATCCATGTAACCATCAAAACACTTTCTGACAGATGGAGCCACAAGGACATATCCTTCATTACACTGAAATTGCATGTTATGATTACTCTGAATAAGACGAGCTTTTCTTTGACTCCCAAACACAAGCAATTTTTTTGTTGCTAGCTGTTGTCTTGTGATACTGCAGGGTGCTAAAAAAACACAGAAAATAATTCAGATCTTCTCAATAGAGATAATTGTCAATTAGTTTCCCACTATTCCACCCTCAAGAAAATCAGTCTTATCTGCAAATCACAATGGATAGTTCCAGGTCAAAATGAAATAAGCCAAATTAAAGCACAATATTAACAATAATAAAATTATGATTCTGTTATAGACTTAGCACAGAGAATTGGCTTGTAGAAGCATGCACAAGCAGATGTTGTTTTGTTTGTTTCAAGTTAAGAATAAACAGCTTAACCCAAAATCTTCTGCAAAGATATTTTGAGTGAACTGAGTTATAATGGAAGAAAATTTGAAGACAGTTTGAATGTTCCATATTATGTCAAAATATGACACAACATTTCTAAGCATTGAACATTGGCCCCTGTCTCTCTTGATTTTTTAGTTCTGCTTTTTTTGCTCATATTAATGAGCTTATTGTTATTAATAGTGGGGCAATTCAGTATCCTATCAGTCAATGTCCTTCCACCCAAGGGTTACTTCCAGTATTACAGGTTTGACAGACAATAGTTTTAAAGCATTCTTTTAGCTATCCAGTAAATATTATAATGCCCCTTGTTGAATTGTGATGTTGTTGTTCAGTTGCTAAGTTATTTCTGACTCTTCACAATCCCATGGACCATTGCAAGCTATGATCCCTGTCCTCCATTGTCTCCTGGAGTTTGCCCAAATTCATGTTTATTGCATCAATGACAATATCTATCCATATCATCCTCTGCTGTCCCCTTGTCCTTTTGCCTTCAATCTTTCTCAACATGAGGGTCTTACCCCTGCTTCATTTTATACTCCACAGCCAAATTTGTTATTGCTGTTATTTTGGTTACCTCAATTTCATATTTCTTGCATTCCAATCCTCTGTGATCAGGGGTGGGATTCGACCAGTGTAACAACTGATTCAGTGAGCACGCGCTTCACTGATTCCCAAAATGTTGTCAATCTTCCCATTTCATCTTCAGTCAGATCCAGGTTACTTTGATTCATAGATTTTACATTCCAGATTCCTATGGAATATTGTTCTTACAGCACTGGACTTTCCTTTCATCACCAGACACATCCACAGCTGAGTGTCATTTCAGCTTTGGCCCAGCTGCTCCATTCTTTCTTGTGCTACTTGTAATTGCCCTCCTCTCTTCCCCAGACACATACAGAACACATTCCAACCTAAAGAGCTCATCTTCCAGCATCATATTGTTTAGCTTTTTGGTACTATTCATGTGGTTTTATTGTGAAGGATTCTGGAGTGGGTTGCAATTTCCATTTCATGTGGACCACATTTTGTCAGAACTGTCCACTATGACCTGTCCATCTTGGGTGGCCCTGCATGGCTTAGCTCATGGCTTTTGAGCTGCACAAGCCCCTTTGTCATGACATGGCAGTGATTCGTGAAGCGGGTTGTTGAATTAATCATATCCTAATATCTATAACAAGCATGGAATAACCTTGGGGAACTGGAGGAAAAGTCACTACCAAGGCACGAGTCAGATAAAAGAAATCTGAATCCTGGTCAGAAATGTTTCAGTGAAGCATTTTGTCCTCTGAATAACAATGCTGAATTGTCTGAGCTTTTGTTAACTCCTAGACCAGGGGTGTAAAATTCATTTTCATTTGAGGGTCGCATCAGGGTTGTATTTGACCATGGTGGCCAGGGCCAGGGTGGGAATGGCCAGCTTGATGTCATTCATGTTGGGGCACCTGTTGAGGTCCAAGCACTCCACCAGTGAAAATTGGCTCCCGAGCTCTGTTTTTGGTTGTGACATATCCCTGGAACTCTTAGCCCTTGAAGTTGGAGCTCGGAGGGCTGCAGGTAGCTCTCCCAAGCTCTATTTTTGCTGGCAGAGGCACTGCAGGCCAGTCCTTTGCGGTTTTCAGGGCAGCCCTGTGGGCCAGATCTAAGCACCCCATGGGCTGGATCCAGCCCCGGGCCTTGAGTTTGAGTGACAGTCCTAGACAGTTTTTGCATAATGGATGTAGGAATGTGATGGATTACCCAACTGTACTAGCTACAAGGATGATGGGATCTAGTTTTTGTATTATTAAAAGAGAAGGAAAGATCATGGAGAAATCTGAGTAATTGTGCTGAATAAATTGTAATTACTAGACTCAGAAGTTTTCCTTCTACAGCTTTCTAGCTGGCTGAATTCCATAGCAAAAAAATGCAGTTTCCTACTTTATTAACCTCTGAGTCTGCAACCAGCTGTAACTAAGTTACTCAGCATTCTTGAGAAGTGAGAATAAGCTTCCAATTGAATATCATTTAAATATATCCACTGTACATCCAACAATTTGGATCTATTTAATTTTTTGAAAAGAAGATGACACCAGCAGTTTGTGGCTTCAGAGGAAAGCCTGGCTTCCGAGGGAACACCTGAATGCAAATTCAAACCAATTCTCAAAGAATTTGGCAGCTGCAATTCTTCTCCTATTGGATGAATTCAGCATTTTCTCCCAGGTCTACACTAGTAAAAAAAAAAAAAGCATGATGGCTTACCCAAGCATTTTGGTGGATGAGGTGTCCATTTTTGTCCCTTACACTGAATCCATTCAGATCCTTCCAAGACATAACCTGGGTTGCAACTGTATTGCACTCGGTCATTTTCCAGGTATTTGGCTTTCTCAAGGCTTACAATTTCCCCAAAGTCAATGTCCTCTGGTTCTTCACATGCTGGAATTATGTTTACATTAAATTATCTTATTTGCTTAGACAGGCTAACTTTTTCTATTTACTCTCATGAACTTCTCATGAACTGGATATAACAAACTTTCTGCTCTAACCCAAATTAGACAATTATTTCCCACTTTTGTCTTAACTAGGAAACCAATGCTTGATGGACATTTAATCCTAACTATAGGTAATCCTCAATTTAGCAATCATTTGAATTCCAAGGAATTACTTGTGGAATGTTTATAACCCAGATTCAAAATGTCACCCCCTACCTCAGTCATGAGTGCACTTTGGTGCTGGGCAACTGCATTGCATTTACAGCCAATTGCAGCATCCTATGTACACATGACCCTGTTTTATGACAGTTTTGCTGAAAACCTAAGTAAGTAAAAACCATTTGCTTCTGGTTTACTGCAAAACCACACTGGTACGCTTAATAAATACATATTCACTTAATGGCTGTGATAATTCATTTAATGGCCACCACAAAAATGTTTATAAAATCTAGTCACTCTCATGACTGATAGACTTTATGATCATAACATGTTGCAACTGTGATGGAAATTCTCCATTAAGTTATAACTCAAAGACTTCCTGTAATATGTAACCTTCCCTTGCTGATGCCTAACCTAAGTATTTCTGTGGATGGTAGATAGAGAGAGGTTGGAGGGCTATTAAACTTGCCCCTCCCAAAGCAACTTCTTTGTAAGTGATTCTGTAGAATTTCCTCCTTGCTGGTACTTATCATGGCTTACCATGGATGGTAACAATAAATCACCCTGTGATTTTTGTAATAACCCTGTCATCTTTCCTTGTATAATTCCTAGGCAATATATGACTCAAAAATGTTAAAGTTGGCAACAGTTCTTTTCTAAGAGAAATAAATCCATTTCTGACTAGTACCGCCTTCCTATTAATTTCTCAGTATCTATTATCTATAGTTTTTTTTTCTTTTAATCAGGTTTAAATGGTGCCAGTTGAGAATTTATTATGTAGGCTATAATTCTCTCACCTTGTTATATTCCATTTTCTTTTCTTTTTAGAGATAGAGCATGATAGAACAAAGTGTGAGATATCCATACACACACTACACACACATACACAAACAGAGAGAGAGAGGGAGGGAGGGAGAGAGAGAGAGAGAGAGAGAGAGAGAGAGAGAGAGAGAGAGAGAGAGAGAGAAATAATATACAGTGTAGAGAGCACAAATATTCATTCTAAACAGCAATGGTGGGCAGAAGCAGGGAAGAAAATAATTGTAGAATATCTCTAAATCTTCAGCTATCAAATTTGAAAGTAAGAGCTTGATATGGGGTGGCAATAACTACTTATTGTACCAATGGTTTATCAGTTAATTTTACAATTATTGGGAAAGGAGCACCTTCTGTGGTCTCTGTTGACAGGGCCAATGCTTTTCTTACTTTCCCCCCATGAATGACTTTTGAAAACGAGTTTATTTAACATAAATCAATTGATTAAAAAAGGGAAATAAGAAAGACCAGGCAACTGTCAGGCAACCATCAAAAACAGTGATAAATAAATTATTGGCTCAAAGGTTCGATCAGTGTGAATAGAAGCAAGTGTAACCTTAGCTTCAGTGTCTTGAGATGTGAATATTTCCCTCTTTTTCTTCTCCTAAAGGATATTATCACTGTGAATTAAGTTATACACTAATTGCTTTTGTATTTATCCTGATATAAACATAACTGAAATACATCTCTAAAATTTCAAACTTCTGACTTATGAAGATTCATCCCCTTGGAACAGGTTTCAGAAAACATAGATATGATTCCTAGATGATCAATGTTCTTATCTAGGTATTATGTGCTTTAGTGACAGCCCAAAGCATAATAGAGGCTCTCATAAAATTACCTCATCTAGAAGGAAAAAGAGAGAAAAATTTGGGGGAAAGTATAGATTCTACAGTACTGATAGCATGCACTTGGTTAAATTATGGTAGAAATATATTCAATAAATATATTCCATTTTTATGTCTCTTCATTTCAACTTTTGAGGATCTTTTTTGTTTATAAGCAAAATAAACCATTAAACATAAATGCTTCAATGAAATTAAAGCTTTTGCTTCAGTTTTAAAGTATCATTATTAGACATGGTAATCATTTGGTTATCATCATATCCAGTTCTTTATTAACTGAAGCAAACTTCCTTCCAGACGGGTGTAAATTTACAATAATGATGCAAAGAATTTTGCTATATACAAATCAGTTGATCAAAAATCTTGCATTTGAGAAGGCAATTGGAATTATACTGTAAGTCTATGATATTTTTAAAGAATCTGCCATTACAAATTTCCAGAAGGCCACAAATGGAAAATGGAACTCTTTGCTTTTGCTAAAAGAAATTGTTCCTTTAATGAACACAGCAGAAGCTGTTTTCCTTAGTAACCCTTTGATTTCTTTTCTTCTTAACTTACCATTTTGAGAAGAGCTGCCCGGCCAGAGAAGAACAGCAGCAACCAGGAGTAGCCAGCTCTTCATAGCTCTTCAGGCAATGTCTGAACCACTAAACCTCAGTTCAGCAGTTTGGCAATCTCAGTGGATTTCTCCCAGCTACTACCATCCCTTCCTCATTATGGGAATAAGAATATGATCTTGCCAGCTAAGAGAGGATTATAAATAAACTTTGTGTTGCAGTGATGACGATAAACAAATAAAGCAATACTTCAGCTTTTCAGGCAGTGTTTCCAATTCTTACGAAGGAAAAAAAAAACCCACCACTTGCATTCAAGAATCCTCCCAATGTCTTCAGCAGCAGCTAACAGCAAAATTATTATACATGACATTTATGAATCTGGCATATCTCTTTTGCATTTATGATGTATAGGAACCACACATTGCAGATATCCAATATCTTCCTTAAAAAACTCTGTAGTTTTATTATCTTCAGTCAAAAACAGTTAATCATTAGCAATCACATGGGAGACAGTACACTTTGCTACCTGTTTGCTCCTGCCACCCCAGATTCTGAGAACTAGGGTTGGATTTAACTTTTACAAATATCTAGGAGGTCAAAATAATATCAACTCCCAGGGTATATAAGAACAGAGAAAAAAAAAAGATATTGCCTCCTTATCCAAAGGATACAAGAACTACCTTTCTCTTCTCACCTCATTTTTATAGCTGTGTATAAGAAATATTTTTTACTGTTATCTACTCTTTCTGAAGATAGCAATATGTATATTATTTATTAAATACAGTTTGAATTGAGTCAAAATTGAACTGAGCCATCTTGTCTTTAGCGAAAACAGTGTTTCTCCCTCCCAGCAGTTGGAGAGACAGAGAAACTGGCCTTGGAGGACAAGAAGAGCCATTACCAAGGCAGCAGTCATATAAGAGGAGCCTGAGATCGGGCCCAGAAAATAACTTGAGAAAAGTGTCTATGGAGATTCTCAATCATCCAGGTTGTCCTGTAGATGCTTTCCCAAAGGAAAGCAATTGTACTTTCTTGGGGTTTTTTCCGCTTGAAAATATTTTGCTTCTCAGCCAAGAAACATTTTCAGTTCTAACTGAATTGTGGGGAATGGAAAGATTTATATTTTTTGCAGTCACCTGTAGTTCTCTCCCTAGCACCTTGTAGTGCTTATCTCTACTTTCTACAGCTTTTATATCTATAGTATGTTGAATCTGCATGTTCATGGCTCAGTATGGGGAAGACGTTATTAGCTGTAGATCAGCTTGTAGACTGTTGATTGAAGAGATTCTGTGATAAGTCTGGTAGTTGTTTGTGAGGAGGACTAAGCCATAGCTTTGGTAAACATTGCAAAATTTACCAGGAACTGGTAAAAAGGGCTGTTTAAATAATATTTAAGTATGTATATGTATATACATATATTTGCTTACATATGTACATACATATATGTGCTTATTTTTATGTGTGTGTGTGTGTGTGTGTGTGTATGCATGTATATGTATATATGCATACCCATACACACACATACACATACATACTTATGACCACAATTGAGTCCAAAATTTATGTTGGTAAGTGAAACATTAAGTGAGTTTTGCCCATTTTACAACCTTTCTTGGTACTGCTATTAAGTGAATCACTGCAGTTACATAAGTAGCATGGTTGTTAAATGAATCTGGCTTCCCCATTGACTTTGCTCTGAGTCAGTTTCCAAGCATCTTAATTTTAGTCACATTACCAAGGGGCTACTGCAATGGTCATAAATGTCCATTCTTCTTTCAGTGACATTGTAACTTTGAACAACCACTAAATAAACCTTTGTAAATTGAGGACTCTGTGTGTGTGTGTGTGTGTGTGTATTGAGGACTATGTGTATGTGTGTCTACATGTGTGTTTGGTCTATAGATAGATAGATAGATAGATAGATAGATAGATAGATAGGCAGACAGACAGACCGCCCAGATTCAAGACCCAAGCTTTGTACAATGGGGTGAACTGTCAGTACTTGCCCCAGCTCCTGCCCACGTAGCAGTTCAAAAGTCTGCAAATGTAAGTAGATTAATAGGTACCACTTCGGTGGGAAAGTAATAGTATTCCATGTATTCCTTTTGGCCTATACCCATGCTGACCATGAAAATTATCTTCAGACAGTGCTGCCTCCCTCAGCCAAGAAACGGAGATGAGCATGGTGCCTGTGAGTCAGACACGATTGACAGGGAAACCTTTATCTTTATTTAAATTTAAATCAACACACATGACAGTGAATGCTCCCTGTGAATAAAAGTGCTGTGAAAGAGCTTTGTAGGCATAAGCCTTAGAATAACAGAGTTGGAAGGGAGCTTGGAGGTCTTCAAGTCCAACCCTCTTGATGAACCCATTGAGCTCAATCAGCATCAGGACATCTATTCATCTTAGTTGACATCTATGAAAATTTACATTTTTTAGAAAATAAAAAATGAAAATCATTTTTACAGATGAATTTTATTCATTTAATAAACTCAACACTTCATGCTAAAATATCATTTTCAATATTCTATTGTCACTGCTTTAAGAAGAGATTATTGGCAATTCTCATTAATCAAATGTTTTGGCTAAAATGTGTACATTATTGACTTCTGGTACGTTTTGAAAAATGTGTATCACATATTATAATACTTAAAGATGGCCTATATATTTGTTGAAAACTGCATTATCGTTTTATCAAAATTATCAATAATATCAAGTACTAAAATGTAGCTTTTAGAAAATAGGCTTTTATCTTCAAGATCCATTATGATAGTTGGCAGACAATCCAGAGTTCATATATTTTCCAGAAGAAACACAGTGAAGTTTTATGCAGGGTTATTAAAGAAAATTATTCATGATTACTGACATCCACACACTGGTAAAAAAGGGCTGACATCATTCATTATTTGCAACCTACAAAATAAAATGTGAGTTTAAAAATTATGTTTTAGGAACTATTTCTTACATCTCTTCCTCTGTGGCAGAATACACCTTAGATAATTTTACAATATTAAACTGATTTCATACATAGGCAATATGGATGAAATATCAGACATTATTACTGTATCTCTGTACATTAAATCAAATGGCCAAAATGGAGACTCATTCTAGAGTAGATTGTAGAGCACCCTGCCATTTTAAGCAATTCTTCTTTTCTTCCTCTATAAAATCACTGTTGATAACAATAAAAGTTTAAGCATTTTAGAAATATTGAGACTAATCATGATTTTTTTAAAAATTTTAGATCTAAATTCTGGCAGGTAGAGTTGACCAGAATCATAACATTTAAGATGAGTAGGAGAACTTCACTGAATCCAAATGTACTTTTCCACAGAGTAGATCCTATCAGAAATCTATCTGATAAGTTGGACGATTCATTACTAAATGAAATTTCTTTCCTTGCAATGGACTATTGGATTCAACCCAGAAATTTTATGTTGAAAAATTCATACTGATTCAGAACAAACTTGCTGCACTGGGGTAATTGAAATCAGTGAGAATATCCCCCTGACAATAAATTACGTTTTTTACTTACTTCATCCCCAGAAGAGAGGAATCTGCCAGGATTCAAAAAGAGATGAAATTAGGGCAGCTGTTTGAATCTCTCTGACCCAATCTTCATTGTTTTTAAATACACCACTTACCACAATCATAGATACTTTCCCTCTGTTGTTCTGAATGAAAGGAAACTGATTTAAATCATGGGATCCCTAAGGATTTCCCTGGTGTAGAACAATTGCAGAAAGTAAGGTTGGTTTAGGATTTCATTTTATTCAGCGAAATGTCTGGGTTTGTTAAATATTTATAATCCATGTATACCCTTAAAATATATATAAATTGTGTGAGTTCATCTAGTCTTTCTCCCTCTCCATTATCTGAATGAGACCTTTTGGCTTAAGATGATTGAGAAGAACTCACCTTCCTTTTCTTTATGAGCCGTATTGGTGAAATAATCTTATATCAAATTTATTTTTAAAAGACTGAGTTAATTTGGGCATAACAATCCAGCTTTCTAAAAAAGTGATTCTATCCAAAATGGGATAAAGAAAGGCAACTATTGAGGCAGTGATGAAAACTATAAGATGACTGAAAATCAGAATATTTCATTTGCAAGGTGGGAAGAAAACAAGGAGAGAAGGGAAATGTATACATATATTAATGCCATACGGATAGTTCATTTTTCCATTTATGCAAGTAACTTTAAATGGTCTGGAATATGGGTGTGGCTGATAGCCTCTTTTACACAGAAATTCAACTGTATTTCCATTTTCCCAATGTATTTTATCCCATTCCTTCCAACTCAGCTATTAATAATGTTGTGCCTCAAATCTTCTTCCCTTGTTATTCAAGAAACTGCAAAAATTGCATAAGCTGAGGAATAACTTATATTGCTTTGGCCATAAAAGAAAATGCTTTCATCCACTAATATTTTAAGAAATGTATCTTTCTACTAAAATTTTTTTTGATTGTCTCATCAGCAACATTTGTGCATCCTTTGCCCTATATCTTTTTTCTTTCCATCTTTATTTCTCTTTCTAATTCTCAGCTTAAGATCTGGAAACATATGCTGTTTCAGATACAAGGCTATCATTACATAGGTAAAGAAATGCTATTTAACACCATGACTATAGATTGGATAGAAGTTTGCAACCCTGAAATATAATTCACAATCCAGTAGATATGACTTTGGTCTCATACTGAGTTTCTCTGCCCACTCCTCATTTCTAGCTAGACAGGGAAAAGAAGTGTTTTAAGACAAAAAGTGGCACTTGCCTGCAGATTGGAAGAAGGGCTCCCATCTTCCCAGTAACCTCTCAAGAAAACTTCAGGAACCTTGAAAGAGAAGATGATTTGATTCAGATTTTGATTGTAAGTGGTAGAATATCTAGCCAGGAATGTATTAGGATTTATATGTCCATTTTCTGGATACTGCTGAGTTGCTTCAAAGTCATTGTAAAAGTTAGGGAGATCCAATGAATAAATTCAGCTTTATACAGTAGATACCTCAGGCAGCTTCATAAGATATCATTTTTAAAAGTATCTCATGATCTCTAATGAGATTGTAAAACTTCACTAGTATCTTTGAGGAGATTTTCAACTTTTCAATTTCATAATTTCTAGTTTATATAGAAGTTGACCTTTCTCTAGAGTTTTATTTATTTTTTCCTATCAAAATTTTTCCTCTAGCCCCAACCAGACATCATCAAGCCACAAAATTGATTAATGCAATACCAAAACATAACTGACATAAACCACAACTTATGTCACATATGTCAGGAGGATATTGTACAGATGAAATAAATTGTTTGCATAAAAGTTTGCATAATGACATGCATATGATAGCACAGATTCTTTCCCTTTCTGCAGAAACCCTTCTAAAATTGCCAGCCATTTGGAGGACATCTATGAACTAGGATTAAAAAGGTTTACATTCCCCTTTTTTCTATGAAACATGTTAGGTAACCTTGATTCAATAGCTGGATATTGAAGCAGGATACAAATCTAAGCAGAACACAAAAAAATACCCTCCAACAAAATTCCAAAATATCTTTTTCTAAATGATTCTTATTCAGATAATGATATTGCCATAGTATCAGATGTCATATCTAATTGTGGTTTAGTATGACAAGGTTGCTCCTGACTTCAAAATTCTTTGTTTTTGAGAAGACCTGTGAACTCCTCATGAGTTACAGAGTTTGTGCTCAGTGATGGTTAAGCAGGAAACATGAAGCATTTTAGGAAAGTATTGCCAAAGCTCAACTACTGGGCCACCTTTTGGCTAATTTATTTGTTATTCGGTTGTTTCTCCTTGTTTCTTTAAGATTTTTTTTCAATGTTCAATTTTTATACAAAATTATTTTGGCATCAGAATTGCTAACATACCCACACCTCTGTTTAATTTCTCAACTATCAAATCACCATTGACAGTTTCTGAAAAAAAATAGATTTCAATAGTAATTAAATAAAACAATTCATTTCATTCCTGAAGCCATTTGCCTTCAACCTTTTTTGGTGTTCAGGCTTATGTCCTGTATTACAATTAAATTCCTTTCATTCCTCACCTAATCAAAGTTCCTCAAGTTATGTTTCTGCTCTTATTGTTGCAATCATTTTAAAAAGTAGATCTGATCAGGTGTTAGCAAATAACACTGCACATGTTCCTATAGGCTCATCAACATTTTCTGTTTCTCTTGAAGCAAAGAAAATAGTTCATTTAGAGCATGGGTATCAAACTTGATTGCATCATGTGACATATTGTGACGTATCACAATATTTTTGTCTTTGCAGAGCTGAGATGGGTGAGACCTATCTTCCACAGCCTTTTCACTTTGGGTTGCCCAACCAACTTTAGAAGGAAAAGTTCCCTGTAAAGCCAGACTATAGCTTGCTTTATCAAGCACATATCAGAGTTGGCATAGGGATGCTTATGTACCTGAAAAGGGCAATTTTTGGAATACATGAGCCACCAAACTCTGCATTGCCAAGGATCAACATACCACTGAAAAGTGCAACAATTTCACCTGGTGTGAGCAGGTAATGTGTGGCAGTTACTTTTACCTCCCTGTCCCTCCTCATCATTTTTGATTTGTAGCTAAGGAAGGCACAGAAGGATCAATCACTAGGTACTAAACAACAGGGTGGGGTTTGGGCAAATCCATGCAGCCTGTGTACATGGTGCAAGGACAGTTCACTGCTTCCCTAGCACATCTGTATGCTTCTGCCTGTATGTCAGGTTCAGATCCTGAGTTGGGCAAGTACATGTCCCTGTGTGAAAGGGTTATGTGTTAAGCTTTTAGTTCAGAAAATAAAACAATAAAAGTTTTAAAGTTGCTTTTGTAGCACTGGATTTCCTTCTCTGACTATGACAGGATGTGGCTTCTTTACTACTGCTAGTTATAAAAAAAATTAGTCTCCTGCCGCCATTATTATTTCATAAATAATCATTCTTTGTCAATAAAGTGATTTATCATTCATTAACAATAAAGCAATTTCTGCTCTAGAAAGAAACAAGGAAACTTTTTTAAAAAAACCCTCACTGCTTACCTTAACAGGAAGGAGCGGGATCCCAACCATTAGCAGTACATTTAGAAACCATTTTTGGGGTCTTGTATAAAGAAAGGCACTCTATAACAGGTTATTTCAATTTCATTATTATACCTGTATAGAGATTGGCTAGGTTGAATGCAGCCATTCCTCACTTCTGGAGGGAAACCCTGAATTTCTACAGAGGAATATGAATAGGAATTCATGGTCAATAAGTCACTGCCTATGAAACTAATGAATTGCAAAATGAGAAGAGATCCTCATGCTATAAACCTTGAAGTGGATCAATGAATTTATTTTGTTTTATGATTTTTTTTTCAATTGTCAAGTAACACAACTTGTGGGACCTTTCTCTGTCTATTGTGTTTCACTTCTGTCAGCTTCACAAGATAGCAATAACAATAGTACTCCTATTTACATAACACTTCACAGTGCTTTACAGAGATCTCTAAGTAGTTTATAGAGTCAGAATATTGTTCCCAACAATAGTCAATTTACTGACCTTGGAAGGATGGAAGGCTGAGTCAACCTTAAACTGGTGAGATTCAAAGAGCCGAACTGCTGGCAATCCACAATCAGCAGAATTAGCCTGCAATACTTCATTCTTACAACCACCTCACCATGGCTCTTAAGATCGGTGGGCTAAGGAAGCTTAAGACTACCTTCACTGAAATTTGTTGTAATAATAATATTTTACACATCTGATTGTTCTATACTCATCCTCCTTCATTCAGTAAATAGGAAAAAGTCCGAGCCTTCAAAATGTTATCTTGATTTTCTGAACTTAAAAATGCTTCAGACTCCACCTCTTCTGGGAACTAAAGACCTGGGGAGAGATCTCTGAAGGATTCTTCCCTGGATTGTAGGCTTAACTGAAGGGACTGGCTTTCCTTCAGGTTTTATGACCAACCCAGTCATGGTTTGTTGAAGAACTTCCCCCTGGAACCCTCCAAATACTTATTAGAAGCAGAATATAAACAGATTTGACGTCCCTGTAGAATTTACAATTTAAGAATACATGTGACTTTCAAGTATGAACAATGGTAGACTACAATGTCTCTGAAGATATATTGTGGAGATGATATTGTGGTGATTGAAGGACATGCCTTAGCCAGCAGAACCTCCTTGGATAAAGAAAGGCCAAGAAATCTCCCACTATGATCTGGAAGATGTTTCCTTGTGAGTAGATTGCACGATTTTAAGATCCTGCAGCACTTTTGCAGTTGACTTGTAAGTCTGAGTGGCCAGAAGATGCAAAAAAGTCAATGAACTCTCCTGTGCTCTGGCTTATGGATTACAGTTAGTGATAGCATGGAACAAATCTTCTATAATATAACCTCATACTATGGAATGAGTTCATTATTATTTAATCTGCTTTAGCTATGTTTTTTTCCTTTTTGTGCAACAATTTTATAACTATTATAAAAGACCTTGGGACTATTTCTAAGAAGAAAAATTATGGAAATGTTATCATTACTACAGCTAGTTATAACAAACTAGTATCCTGCCACCATTATCATCTCATCTCATCCACCATAACATAGGTATATCATTCAGAAACAATAAAGGAATTTCTGCATTAGAAAGCAATTAAAAACAAAGAAACTGCATACTATGACAGTCAGGGGAGGGATCCCAGCCATTAGCGGTACATTTCAAAATGTACTTTCTTTGGATCACTACAAATATAGCCTGTTTACAACAGGTTATCTCAATTTCATTGTTGTACATGTATTGAGATTGCCTAGGTTCAATGTGGCCATTCCTCACTTAGGGAGTGGGACACTGAATTTCTACAGAGGAATACAAATAGAGATACACAGTCAATAAGTTACTGCTATGAAACTAGTGTACCACAAAATGAGGAGAGATCCCCATGCTATAGATCTTAAAGTGTATCTAGAGCATTTATTTTGCTTAAAGATTTTTTTTCTAATTTGCCTTCTAAATCAAAATTTAGCAAATATTTGTATATTTTAGATATTATTTTTTCTTCTGGTCCTAACAATATTTTATCTAATTGGGTTGTTGTTGTTGTTTTCAAATCTGAATTCCTCTAAATCTTTTTTATATCTCATTTGCACTTGAAGGTATGGCCACCTATCTATAAATATTCCTTGTGTTTCTAATTCTTGAGTTGTTTTGAGTCTTCCTTGATTATCCAAAAGTTGATAATATTTAAGTTTTTTACTGATATCCAAAATATTTGAGTGGATCATTGCCTCCATAGTGTACAGCCAGCCTGGAATTTTGGTGTAGTGTTTCTTCCTGATTTCCTCCCAAGTATTTATCAGTGAATCTCGCAAGACATGTCTATAAAAGTAGGAACGATTCTTATTCCTGGGGTCCCATATGAAGGCATGCCACCCTATTTGCATATCATGTCCTTCTAATATTAAGCTTCTCTTGTTTTCTAATTTAATCCAATCTTTAATCCATACTAAAGATGCTGCTTTGTAGTAGGTTTCCCATGTTGGGAGTCCAAAGCCACCTCTGCTTTTACTATCTAATCTCATTTTTGATCAAAATAGAATTCATATAGGATCACACTGAATAAATGGCTTTTATCATACTCACTGGGAATGGACAATAATCAGTCTTAATGCCATCAGTAATGCAGTTATTTTCATAATCAAATGAAATTCTTTCAACCATACCCAGTGTCTTCATGTTTATATTAAACAGAAGTGGGAAAGGTGTGGAGCACTGAAGCAACCTGCAATCAGGAGCTGGAGGGGGCTAGATCTCTCCTCCCATCAACACTGATTAGAACCACTCCAGAGGAAGACAAAGAACCAAAGTAATACAATGAAACCTCTAAGAACATTGGGCTCACATAAAATCTTCTTTTCTTAAGCACATTTGGATCAAAATTATTTTAAAGTTAAAAGGGATTTCCAGAAGAGCAAAACAGTTGACGTGTGAGCCTTCATCCTGGATTAAAGAAAACAAATAACAATTTTAAGAATTTAAAGTCACTTGCAAAAAGCTTGGCAGGAATGTGATATAAGTTTTAAATGAATTAAAAGTACAGTCACATCTGAAATACTATTTTTACAAATCGTTTCTTTAAACAGCCTAAACCAGTGTTTCTCAAAGTTTGGAGCTTGAAGATGTGCAGACTTCAACTCTCAGTATTCCACTCACCTTCAGGTTGCCAAGGTTGAGAAACACTGAACTAAATAAACCGTAAGTATCTTTAAAGAGATGCTTAGATTGCGTAGTGAAGACAGAATTGGTGGACTTTGCTAAATAACGATAAGGAAAATGCAATAATGCAAAAGAGAGAAAACTTGAGAGAGAGAACATATGATTATAAAATTACAGAGTGTCAGAAAGTACCAAAGTGTTAAGGACCTAAAAAAATAGCCAAAGCGGGGCAGGAGGGGGAGAGACCTGAGAAAAGCCTCCCTTTACTTGACTCATTTTCCTTCTGGATAACAAATGAATGAAATAGCTATTGCTAGAAAATAAAATAAAAATGTAGAAGGAAGGAGAGGGTAGTTAAAGAAAAGAATATAAATTCATTTCATATTCAAATATGATTGCTGTAGCGATACTATTTAGCAAATTTATTTCAAGGTTGAAGTGATAAACAGTGAAAAAAATTATTAAGGAACTAGAAGCTTGCCTGAAGTGTTCATATTTTAATATGAGCATGCAGAAGAATAGTCCAAACCCAATCCAGGGTTCCAAGTATCAGATTAAAGTTGTCAGCCAGTCCAATTGTCAGAGGTTCAAGATTTCTTACATGAATGAAATGAGTGAAAGAACATCACAATAGAACCAAGGCTTAGGCATTGTTTCCAGCAAAGGGAACATGATCTCAGCTGCTCCTTAAATCAGGATGTAGCCAGTTGTCACAGATTTACTCCTTTGCTGGAGAAGAAATTCCATGGAATATTTGCTTGGCATAGGAATTTGGAGGCCTTACATCAATATCTGACTTCTTCAGCTGCCCAAGAAATCCCTGTTTGTTCAGCCTTATCTGAATCTTGTCTTGGTGTCTCCTGAGATCAATATTTCAAAGGGTCAGCTGAAGCAACTTCTTCAGATTTGAATCTGAAATCAGGGTCATGACATTGTTAGTTATTAAGTTTAAATCTTCCTTTAAATATTGCCATCTTGGGAGACCTAGAAACCTTGCCTTTTCCATGGTAGCCCTTACCCAATGGAACACCCTTTAACTTTCCAGAAGGCATCCAGAAAACATCTAGAAAGAGAGGAATCTTTCCAGAAGACTCACTATTGTTATTACCATTTGTCACCAATTTCTATTTCAAGAATACTAAATACTAAATTATTTGTGAAATATTTGAATAAATAGTAAATATCTTAGTGAGGATGCAGATAGTTTAGAGTTTTAGCAAAGAGAGAGTTAGTGGAATTTGCAAAATAATGACAAGGAAAATGCAATAATGCAAAACAAAGGAAAATTGAGAAAAAGAGAGGGAGGGAGGGACGGAGGGAGAGAGGGAGAGAGAGAAAGTGACCATATGACTATAAAACTACAGAAAAGACTTAAGGACATAGAGAAATAGCCAAAAAGATGGAAAACACCAGAGAAAAGCTGCTATTTTTCTTTTGTACTTGGCTCATTTGCTGTTTCTGGATTTTTTAAAAAATGAATTAAATGGCTTCTACTAGAAAATCAGCAAAATCAGTAAAATTTGTAGTATGAAGGAGAGGATAGTTAGAACAAGCAGAAGAAAAGAGGATCACTCCAGAAATATTACCAAAAATGTTTGAAGAATTAGGGAAGAATGGGTTTGGATGTGTTAAAAGATTTTACTGCGTTTGAAGGGAGAATAGAAGGTTCATAGAAAAGAGGAGATGAAAGAAGATATTAAAAAAGTCTCTTGAAGAATCTCTAGGACAATTAACTGGAGAGGAGAAACAAATTAAATAAATTTTAGTAAGTAAAACAGAAATAATAAACAAAGAGACTGAAAAAAAAAACCTTTCAGACAATCTGGTACTATTGGGACTAAGGGGGAAAAGGAATTTTGCTTGAGATTTAAAGTGGTCCCAGAGGACCCTGATAAAGATTAAGAGAGAGTTGTTTAATTTTTACATAATTATTAGAATGGGATAAAGAAAACATGGATGCAGCACAGATTTAAAGTGTGCATAAGATCAGTACATATTCTGCAAAGTTATGAAATTAACAAGGGATATTTTTAGTGCACTTTGCCAGGAGGAAGAAAAGGGACCAAGTCCCTTTTGTTTCTCCTGTTTTCTGCAACATTTTAATAACAGGTTAAATGTCAAAAATATAAATGTAGTTATATTTTTAAAAATTCCAGTCAGACTGTTATAAGAGAATAGGATATTTGGTTTTGACTGACAAGTTCAAAAGGAAGATACTATTTTGTTCAGAGGAGAGATGTTCACTCTTAACCAGTAGAGTTCAAAAAGCAAGAGATTTCCTAGAAACATTTAAAGAAGGCTTAGAGAAAATACAAACGAGGGTGACGGAAAGAATTATTACCACATTAATAAATAAATAAATTAATTAATTAATTAAAACATGACAATTAATTAATTAATTAATACAAAATTATGCATATACCCATATGGATATGACATAGAGAAACATCACAGTCTAATTTGGATGTATATATGGACATGGTGAGAGAAATGAATCTTGCGAGTTTACCAGACAGATGGCATAGGGAACAAAGCTGTTACAGAATCTGGTAGTCCTGCTAAAAATATTTGGAAACCTCCTCCCAGAGGGGAGCAACAAAAACCGACCATGAAGTGGGTGTGTGGGATCTCTAACAATGCTTTCAGCTCTAAGCAAAGCACTTATAATCAGTATCCTGAATCACTGGAAGTGAGCTTCCTATAATCTTCTCGGTTGTCCTTACCACTCTCTGAATGGATTTTCTCTCTAGGGCTCTGCTGCCACACCAAACCAAATGGTGATACATTTTTTTAAAATTCCTTTAATTGTGCCACTGTAAAAAGTGGCCAGGACAAAAGGAGAAAGATGTGCTATTTTCATCTGACACAGGAGAAAAGGAAAGAGGAAAGACAAAGAAAAAGAAGAAAAGATAGGAAGAGAGCAAGGAAGGAAAAATAAGGAAAGAGGGGAAGGAAGAAGAAAGGAGAATGAAGAGGGAAGGAAAAAAAAGAAAAGGAAGGAAGGAAGATTATAATGAGAGTGAGAGTCTGAAGGAAGTCCTGCTTTAGCACTTGGCCACCACAGGTGTCCCTGACACGAGTGATGTTGAACTGACCATGCCCACCCTGGCACATCTGTCCCAGCCATACTTGTCCCAACCACGCCAACCCCTGAGGTCAAACACAACCCTGATGCAGCCCTCAAATGAAATCAAGTTTGACACCCCTGTTCTAAAGCTATTCATTTCATACTTAACATTCAACATTTCCAGTTGTTTAGCAGCTGTAGACCTGTTTTTTCTTTAGTTCAAAATTTACAGACTAGGTTCACCAAAATTTAAAAGATTCATTTACTATTCATTTACTAAGAGAAAGTAATACTACGTTATTTTTTTCTTTTATGATATGTGTATCTATCTGCCTGTGAATTGCCTATAACTTTGGTTATTCCTCTTTATTTGTCAAGCTGATATTCCACACCTCATTTCTTGCAAACATCCCACAAGTACAATTCTTCAGAGTTAAATAATTCATCCCTTCTATAATCATAGTAATACACGCAAGTTCTACTTACGGACACATTTTGGTGAAGGTGACCATCCATTTATTGTGCATTCAACCACCTTTTCCTCATTATCTGATTCAAGAATAAATCCACTGTCACAGTAAATTTGAATTAGATTCCCATCATGATATATAGTTCTTTGAGCTCGGAAAGAACCATTCAATATCCTTGGAGGGTTGCATGTAATTTCTAGAGAAAATATAACTTATATTGAAAAAAATATCTGTGGTTCTTTGGATTATGGGTATTGCTTTCTAATAGCACAGAAAATAATACCATTATTATATTATATAGCACCATGAGACCATTTTAACCAGTAATCATGCCTATTGATGGGCACTAACTAATTTCAAACTTCCTATAAGTATCTAAAATATACTGTGCCCTTTTTTGGAAAATCATTAATAAGTTGTTATAACTATTAATCCCCTTTACTTTAATGTTGAATTGTAATATAAAGCTACAATTTGATACTCTCATATTTGCTATTCAGTTCTACTGTTGATCACAATAGAGTTTTGAACCATCTGCAAGTATTGCAAATTATGGGCTCCACATCTGGATATGGTTCAAGAATGGGTGTCGATGACATTGGATTTTCCAAAGGACCACTGTTTGTCCAGTTTGGATGACAAGACAATGTTCACTAAGAGTTCCTAACTATCAATTTGGTCAGGGAATGATGTCAAATATTCTGCTTGCAGCTCCCCTCCTCTAGAACAGCTGTCCTAAGATGAGGATTTCAGCCTCTCTCCTGGCCTATAGGTGACTGTACAGCAAGAAAGACATGTATATATAAGTGTGCATATTTTGTTATTTGATTCCTATTTTTATACCTGTAAATTGCCTAGAATCTACAAGGATCAACATGATAGAGAAATGCCATGAATGCATAAACAAACAGCTTCATTGTGCTCTTCTGATGCCTATGATGAAAGTACTGGTTCTGGGAGAAGTTAAACTGCCAAAATTGAGAAATGTCCCTTGTTAGACATCTTCTGCTCTATTAGTCCCAACATCAAAAGTAAAGTAATATTCTAGCAGTAACTAAAAAAAAATCTTATATTCTTGTTAGAGCTGGAATTTCTATTGGTATTAATATTTAGCTTTTGATATGGTAACAGTTTATAAATTCTTTCAAAATAGAAACATATAGTAGCTCAGGTATGGAGTTTGTTTACAGAAAAAGTAAATACTGTGCCATTCATTGATATAAATGCTATTACCATACATATCTATTATCCAGACCTGATGAATGAATTAGGGTTTGTTTGTTTGTTTTGGGAAAATCTTTCAAGAATGCTGTTTTGCACTAACTTAGCCATGATTAACATCGTGAGAAAGGTGGAGCAAGATGAACCAAAAGTTGGAATTAAGATTGCTGGGAGAAATATCAACAACCTCAGATATGCAGATGATACCACTCTAATGGCAGAAAGTGAAGAGGAACTAAAGAGCCTCTTGTTGCAGGTGAAGAAGGAGGGTGCAAAAGGTGGCTTGAAACTCAACATTAAGAAAACTAAGATCATGGCATCTGGGTCTCTCAATTCCTGGCAAATAGATGGGGAAGAAATAGAGGTAGTGACAGATTTTATTTTCATGGGCTCCAAGATCACCACAGATGGGGACTGCAGCCAAGAAATAAAAAGATGCTTGCTGCTGAGGAGGAAAGCTATGGTAAATCTAGACAGCATACTAAAAACCATAGATATCACCCTGCCAACAAAAGTGCATATAGTCAAGGCTACGGTTTTCCCAGTTGCAATGTATGGCTGTGAAAGTTGGACCATAAGAAAGGCTGAGTGCAAAGAATTGAGACCTTTGAACTATGGTGCTGGAGAAGACTCCTGCGAGACTCTTGGACTGCAAGGTGATCAAACCAGTCAGTCCTAGAGGAGATCAACCCTGCCTGCTCTTTAGAAGGCCAGATCCTGAAAATGAAACTCAAATATTTTGGCCATCTAACGAAAAGGAAGGACTCACTGGAGAAGAAGAAAGATTGAGGGCAATAGAAGAAGGGACGACAGAGGTGGCTGGATAAAGTCACTGAAGCAGTAGGCATGAGCTTAAATGGACTCCAGAAGATGGTAGAGGACAGGAAGGCCTGGAGGAATATTGTCCATGGGGTTGCAATGAGTCGGACATGACTTCGCAACTAACAACAACAAAGCCATGATTTGTAAAATTAAATTCTTTGTGTCACCTTTGCATTTAGGAATCACAGATGGTGTCCCATCACAATGGATTTTAGAAGCTGATTGGGAAGAATCTGCTTCAAGAGCATATCCTATTCTACAGGTTAACTCAATAGAATGACCACATTGCACAAATATATTTTCGGATGCATTCATTCCATCTTTAATGTCTATCTTCTGGCTTTCCAGTTCAGCCCTGGGAATCATACAGGGATCTAAGATGGAAAAGAAAGAAAAATTGTTAAGAGAAGGCAGTCAAGAATCCAAATGCATCATATTATTCTGTTGCAAATGTCAAACAATAGAATTTCACTTTTGTCTACTAGCCAGTTCCCCTCAGATACAGAACTGAAATTGTATACCTCATCGTTATGCGAGAGAGAAAGAAAGCAGTGAATAGATACTAATGATTAGAAATGCTCATGAAAATTAAATGAAGACTTTCTTTTCTGCTTACCGAGGCAAACAGGCACTTTTGTCCAAGTCCCATTGTCACAAAAAGATCTGTTCTGGCCTTCCATGGTATAATAAATTTGGCATCTGAATTCTACTGAAGAGGCTGATCTATACCATTTCTCAGATAAACTAATAATGTCTCCATTCTCAATCCTGGGTGGAGCATTGCAGTTTTTCCCTCATTTTATTAAATATGAAAGCATGAAGTGTAAATCATTACTCCAAACAAAAGCTTTGAGATTACCCATCAATATTTCCTGATGGATTACAAAATACACCAATAAAGCTGTTTTAATGAGCATCCATTCATGTTGTATGTGTTTATAGTATTTTTAAAATATACACAGAAAAAAGAAGCAATATACATGTATTGAACCATTGATGTAATGGTTAAGGGTAATACACAAGCAGCTGAATAAGTAAACAAATTAACAATGCCTCCACTAAGAATTAACACAATAAACTGATATAAATCAGCTAAATATATTGCAAATTATATATGTGTGCAGATTACACATTAACATAATCTGTTCTTTTTATGAATCTATGACAAAACTGATACAGCATCATTTATTTTCTTAGCAAATAAAATAGCCTTTCCCATTTATTTTCTTAGCAAATAAAATAGCCTTTTCTATTTTAATAATTATATGTTTCTTTAATTCAGTCCTTCAGTCCTTCTTTAATTCAGTTTCTTTAATTCATATCCCTGATATTTAAATAGTCGTGGTTTTATAAAATCTCTTGGATATTCCACATGTATGATATAACCTTGCAGTTCCCCAAAAGTGGTTAGTAGGATTGTCTAGTCCAAACTAAAACACATTCTCAGCATAGTAAAATATATTATCTATTTGTAGGTTGATATAAACATCAAATGCCCTCCATATTAAATTACTGTGTATAAGTTTACATCATTCTTCCCTTTTATAATTTTAATTTTAAATTTTAAAAAACACATATGAAGGAAGGAAGGAAGGAAGGAAGGAAGGAAGGAAGGAAGGAAGGAAGGAAGGAAGGAAGGAAAGCAAAAGTGCAGAAAGAAACAAAAGAAAAAATATATACTCCGTTGCAGTAAGTACATTTACAAAATTTACAAAATTCACTCTTAACCTATAATTTAAAAAGACTGCCTCATTTCATAATTTTGATTATTAAAGTGTGATGTTTTGAAATATTTCTATCGGAACTGAATAGAACTGAAATAGAACTGATATTGTAATTGAAAATCTGAAAAAATTTAGGGTTCCACCAACAAATAAATGATCAAGAGACAATGACTGTTCTGAAAAATATGATTACATTCTTATGGACTATTTTTTTGTTGTTGTTGATTACAAAGTATTATAACAACCAGAAAATTAAACATCTTCAAGCAAAGACTAATAAAGTGTCTTTCATGACCCAAATAGGCTGGAACCAATACTTGCAGAATTATTAAATACAGTCATATTCCCAGCCACCTTAATATTACAATGGCTGTCAGGATTTCAGCAATCGCCCTAATTAAATCATGATTCCTGAGCCAAACTTCAAAAAGTTGGAATCTACTTTCACTTTCAAACTGCTGCACTGCTTTTCCAGATTCCCCCCCCCCTTTTTTTTATAGCAACTACTAAAACAGGCATAGGGATGTTTTATGAGTTGACAACGGCTATATCATATTGTCCAATTTCAAACAAAAGACATTTTGCATCATGCAAAATATGGTTCCCTAACCCTAATGATGTGATATCGACAATGTTTTAAACACTCTTTATACTTTTTGAAACAAATTTCTATGCTACCAATCTTTATTTTAAAAAGCCTCCCATTTTATAGCCCACCAATCCCTTAATTTTGGGTAAATTCAGGATGACTGGATATAGCTGAGCATTTACTGGTCAGTTGCCCTTCCTGATGCCACGTGGGTTTGCAGCAGATATTTTTACTTTGCAACCTAGGAGAGAAACATATGCTGCAACCTAGGATTGAACTTTCAACCATTGAGCACCTTCACCACTAGGATACCATATTGCTCATGCTATCAATATTTATTTGTATCTTTAATGACATATTAAGAAAAGTTCTTATCTAGATCCTTAGATTTTGGATTGAGTTTAAGGTCAACATAAATCTTTGGAGAAATGCCAGAATATCCTTCTCCAAGCTGCTTTAGATGGGGTTTTTTATGTATAAGTTACTGCTACTAAAACTCTGAGCCAAGTATAGCAATAGCACTTAGACTTACCTGCCACTTTACAATGCTTTACAGTCCTCTCTAAGTGGTTTACAGAGCCAGTATATTGCCCCCCAACAATCTGCATCCTCATTTTATTAACCTCAGAAGGATGGAAGGCTGAGTCAACCTTGAGCCTGGTGAAATTTGAACTGCCAAATTGCTTGCAGCCAGCACTCAGCAGAAGTAGCCTGCAGTACTGCATTCTAACCAACTGAGCCACCACGGCTCATCAAATATGAGTGATTTCAGTGACTATTAAATCACTCTTTTTAAAAAGGAAGTTTAGAAGCAAATGTTCATATTCATTATGATATATTCATTATTTTAATTAGTTACGATCCCAGAGGAATCCATCATATTGACATCATGCGTACCAGAGATACATAATGGCAACGCCATGTAACCATTAGCACAACCAACTCCAAACAAAAGACTTTTTTAATCATGCAAAATATGGGTCTCCCCTAATGATATGATAATAATATATTTTTATACAAACTTTGCCAAATTTGAAACAAATTCCTATGCCAACCAATATTATGAATATCTTCAACCACATGAAATGATAATTCTTAGGTGAAGTCAAGATTTTGAATCGAACCTTAGAGACAATTAATATCTTTGGGAAAATGCCAGAGCATTCTTCTCCAAGCAGATGTGCTTAAGATTTTTTGTTTTAGATTACAGCCACTAAACTTCTAAGTCAAGATGTGATTTCAGTGAAGATTAAATCATTTTTGAAAGAATGTGATTTAGAAGCAAATGTTCGTATTTATTGTTACATTGATTTCTTTAATTAGTTCTAATCTCGAAGGAATCCATTATATTTGCCACATGCTTACCAGAGATACATAAAAGCAACTCTATGTAACCATCAACACATTTTCTGACTGATGGGGGCACAAGCACATGTCCTTCAGGACATTGAAATTGAAGGTTATGATTACTTTGAATGATCTTCATTTTTCTTTGGCCTCCAAACACAAACAAGTTTTTTTAGTTGTTGTCTTGTGATATGGCATGGGGCTAAAAAAAGAAAATAAGTTAGATATTATCTTTTTTATTTTTATTTTATTCAAAAGATTAAAATATAAAATACAAAGGGGAAAAAAATTAACAAAAACAAAACAAAATTAGACAAGAATATTAAAAAGAAAAGCATATTATCCTCCCCTCCCTCGATCAATATTGTCAAATATATTCCAGCAATAATAACTCCCCCTGGTTGCAAAACAAATCCAAAATTTATAAACTTCTACATCTATTTGCAATCTAATTTGACCTGTCATACATTGTTCACAGGTTAAACAACTGCAAAGTTAAAGTTCAAGGACCCTTGTTAATGATCTGTTATTGTATTTTACTCATAGAAAGCGGCTTCCGGTTTGAGCTTCTTCAGCGACAGACCGAAACCTCATCTCTGCAAGGCTTCGATCCGTGCTCACTGCTGGAGCGCCCCGAGATGGCTGGTTTCAGGGCTAAGCCACCCCGTGAAGGTGGTGAAGAACGGGGAGACTGCCTGCAGGGTTGAGGAGAGCCACATCTCTCCTCCCCAGCTGGCCATTGCTCCCTTTCCCGAAGGCGGTTGCAGCGGTGGTCAGAAATGGCCACCTCAAAGAAGAACTTGACTGGAAAAGAATGTGCAGGAGGAAGATAAGAGAAAGTCTTGGCTGACCGGATCAAACAGCAAACGCAACAAATAAGGTACCCTGGAATTTAAATTTAATAGCATTGTTCCCAAAGAAGATTTTGAAGCTGCGAAGGAGAAAGAGAAGGAAAGGATTAGGGTCTTTTTTTTCTTCCCTTCCTTATATTGACAGCTAAGAGACTTAAGCAAGAAATTGAAAAAAATCCACTTTGACATTAATAGGCATCTAAGCTGAAAATAAAAGTCAAAGGGATAATAAAGATTTCTGGATATGTAAAAGTTTTTAAAAGCAGGAAAGGAGAAAAAAAAAGAATAAAAGGGCAGGATCTGGAAAAATGGAGGAGACTGCCTGAACTAAGGAATGGAACTGTAACTAAAAGGAACTTACAGTGAAATTTCAACAAGATTACTCAAAGATACATCTTAATTGAAATTTGGTAACAAAATAATAGAACCCCAGGAAGAGAAAGTGGAAAAAAAGAAGCAGAAAGAGACAGCCTTGGATTATTTGGATTACTTGGTGATTTTTGGTTTTTGGATCTGGATGACTAAAATTAACCGGGTGGTTGTTTAAAAGTCTTTAAAATGGTATCACTCTTAGAAGAACTGAAAATGGAACTTAAAAAATGGAAAGAAGATGCACAAAAAGGGAGAGGTTCTTTTCGCTTCGTATTTCAATTCTTAGAAATGGAGATCTGGAACTATGAGAAACAACAAGAAATGCTTGCAGAACAAGAAGATTGGGACAAAGAAGAAGCCATCTTTAATTATCAAATAATTTTAAGTGTGGGGGGAGAATAGAGGGGAAAGAGAGTGAAAGGTTTAAGACTAGAAAAAAAAAAACCAAAAAGAAAAAGAATAATTTGAAAGATAAGTATAATATTAGAAAGCAACAGAAGAGGGGATTACAGATGAGAGAATTAGAAGTAGAGAGACGAGGGGGTAAAAAGGGGAGGGAGAAGAAGAGGGGGAAGAAGGCAAGGAAAAGAAGTTGTAAAAGACAGAAAAAAGAAATGGAGAAACAGGGAAGAGATATAAGGATTGTAACCATAAGCTTGTTTAGAGATAATGGGTGAAAATTTTATTGCAAAGGGGATTCTGCAAAGGTACATAAGATAGCATTGTTATATTATAAACAGAAATTTTTTTAGAAAATATGATTAAAATGATGGATAAAATATTTATTGTAATATAGTTGAATGTTTGGAAATAAATTAATGAATTAAAATGATTGAGAGGATTAAACGGGAACATCTTTAATAATTAGTAATGATTTATAAAAATATAAGTGAGAAATATGGAAAAAAAAGAATTAACTATGGAAAGTTTCTAAGTGTTCCCAAGGAAGTATGATATTTAATTGAAAAGAAATGTTAAAGATGTTAAGATTTTAATGAATATTAGAATTGAATTGGAATGGAATGGAATGTGTGATATATATAGTGTGTATTTTAAGAATGTACCAAGCAGAATTCAATTGGAAGTTATGTATTATATCGAATGCTATAATCTTAAAGGTATACATTGAAGCTTAAATAAGAGTTTGAATGGATAAAATTAAAAGATATAAAGGTGTCATACTCCAATTGGTAACTACAGGGAAAAATTTGTTTAATAAGAAAAGATAATATGAAATTGAAACAGGACAGACAAAAGTATAAATATAATGCTTTGGTTGAGATGAGATAATTAAAATAAAGTTGAGAAAATTAAAAGAGGGGAAAAACTATGTAGAAAATATAAAACGGTAATAAGATATGGAATAGAATATAAAAATGAGCATGAAATTGAGTTTGATGTCTGAATGAAGAAGTGATAACCTGGGACCATGCTATTTTCAAAAAAGATGTTTTATTTGTATTTTGTTTTTGTGAAAACCTAAATAAAACTTTCAAAAAAAAGTCTATAACAGTTTTTATACACCACAAATCACCCGAATAATTATCTCTGGATCAAATACCTTTGGTTGATTTTTAATAAAAAAAACAATGGTGGACTTCTCCCAAGATGGCATGCTATGTGGCTGGTGACTCCTTTTTCCCTCCAATTAACAGCTGGTTTTACCTCCAAAGCCAGTTATTTGGTGGTTTTGCTCCCTATTTTTTTAAGAGTAAAGTAGGAGACTAGGAAGGACCCAACATTACCTCTGATGATTGTATATCTACAGAGAAGAGAGCTTGTTGAAGATTTCAATTCTCGGTAAGGAGAGTTCAGAAGGTCGGGTCTCTTACCATATTTTCCTTTCAGTTGTTTCTTTTTCCTAAGCAGGTCTGGATTTTAATTGCATTTTTAAAGCTTTACCAACTTATGATTTATAACTAGTTGATTGCTGACCACTTTAATAATCTTACATTAAAAATTTTACAACTTTTTTTTCCTGTTCTTTCACTGTTTACTATCAAACTCCAAACCACTTTCATTTTTAGTGTAAGGAGAAAATACATTGTCTGGCAGTGAAAGTCATCTGATTGGATTTATTGGATACAGAATTATGAATTTTGTTCTTTCTAGCTTTTTAAACAATATAAAGAGCTCTGATCTTTATTTTTTAATTATTGATAGAAAAATTCCCCCTTTTTTCAGCACTTTTGATTTGGGGAACAAAACTTTATCTCATTCTTTTTCTCTGGAGGCTGGGTTATGATTTATCTGCTTCTCTTGTCCTTGGAAAGAACAGTGGGGTGTTTTTTTTCCAAAATATGCCCAAAAAGGAAATAAAATTTTCTGGGAAGCACTTGAAAAAAAGAATGCTGTCCAACTTATAGGTTTTACTTGAAAATATAAATTTAAAAATTGATAGGTCAATAATTGCTTTGAATCAAACCCAGGATGATATCCAAAAGCAAGAAATAACAAGTGTATTTGATTTGCAGTTTGATGAATTGGAATATAATCTGTTGCTGCCAGATCATATTCCAAAAAAGTACTTGGTCTGAAAAATATGGATCTGCCAGAATAGATTGAAAGGGAATATGAATACAAGAAATTTTGAGATAATAGAATTGATGAAGGATAAAGTGGACTTTAATGGCAAGATGAATGTTGTATTTTTAAGGAGAATTTTTAAACTATGAATGCTGCAGAGGTATTTACAACAGACTTATGAACTTTGGAAATGAGATGCAATTGTTGGGAAACTTCCCTATAAAAATTCTAAGGATAAATAAGATAGATCTTCTCAAAGGAGGTAATTTATCCATTGGTTTCCCTTTATTCCACCCCCAAGAAAATCAGCCTGGTTTACAAAATGCAATGGATAGTTCTAGGCCAAAATCAAATAAGCCAAGTTACACCACAATATTAATGATATCCAATTTATGATTCTGCTATAGAGAGGATTGGTTTGTAGGAGCATGCACAAACAGATGGTCTTGTTTATTTCAATCTAAGAACAAATACCTCAACTCAGAATCTTCTGCAAAGACATTTTGAGTTGACTGAGTTGTAATGGAATAAAATTTGAAACAGTAGGAGTGTTCCATTTTCTGTTGAAGTATGATGAAAAACTTCTCAGCATTTTTAAGTATGGAAGATCAGCCCCTGGATCCTTTGGTACATTTTTAAAAAATTGCATCACTTTACATTATAATACTTAAAGAGGGGCTATATATTTGTTCAAAACTACATTATTTTACAAATAATAATAATTGCTCAAATGTAGCTTTTATAAAGTAGGTTATCTTCAAGATTCATTGTGAACAGCTACAGACAATGCCGATAAAATATGTTTTCGAGAACTCAATCAAGTTTCATGTAGCATTATTAAAGAGAATGATTCATGAATATCAATATCGATATGCTGGTTAAAATGGGCTGCCATCATTCTTTTCTTTGGAAAAATGGTATTTAATCATTTGTGTACTAAATAGGTTCTTTAATTCATGGCAAGGAAAATGCAGTCTAATATACTGCATTTAGCGAGACTTGCTTATTCTTAGTAAACATGAGGAAATGGTATATGCAACTGATACCTTTGCAGGAAAGCTATTTATATTATAGTGATTAAAATAAACTAAATATAACAGAATAAGCAAAAAATAGTAAAAACGGTAGCTTCACATGCAGAAGGCTTTTTCAAAGTTTTGTACTGGAAACTTTTCCAAAGGAAATGCTTTACATAGCCCTAACAGTAAGGAACTAGCTATCTTAGGGCAGACCTGGACATTTTACACACACACACCCCGTTACATCTGGCCCTTTTGGCTATCCCTGTCCAGCTCACATGAAGTCAATTGGAAATTAGAAATCAAATATAAATAAGGGGGGTGGATCCTTGGTACTCTCTGAGATGGTTTCCTGCAGATGTTTCATACCCACACTGATGATGTTACCTAGTTTGGACAATGAACTGTCTGCAAGAAAATCACCAAGCTCAGAGAATATCAAGGACCCCTCACTTCAATCCTGAGCTACATTCTTCTTTGCTGATACAAATGTAAATAAGTGTATGTGGTTGGGAAAAAGCTGGATTAGGTTTGGCTCTGTGCAGTTGCCGTGCATTGCTTCAACTGGCCTGACAGCCATGGAAAGGAAGGAGAAAAAGCACTTTTCTGAACCTGCACAGTGCTTGCCCTTCACCTAGAGCAGCCTGAAGAGGTGGCAGTGGTGGTCATCATGTGAAGGGACCCAGGCTTGGTTACCAACCACTGCCACTGGTACAAAACATGGACTTGCAGTTGAGTTGTTGGAGTGCAGCCAGTGCTATCAGCCCTCCACAAGACTCCCAGTTCGTCAAGTTCTCCAGTTCTTCTCAGGAGGTCAAAATTGTCATTTTTTAAAAAGAGGATCAAGGACCATTTCTAAGCATGAAATTCCCAGCATCCCTATTTAATTTCAAAATGAAATCTTAGTTCATTCTCTGTTACACGTGCTTTCACTGACATCAGGAATTTTCTTCCTGGGGACCCAAAATGTCCATTTCCAAAAAGAGGACCCAGGATCATTTCTGTTTGTGAAATTCCACCTCAAATCTCATCCCAGTGTCTATTTTTGCATTTGGGTCCATGTTATATGTGCTTACCACAGGCAAAGGGAACTTTCTTCCCAAAGCAGAATGGTGATGAAATCCCAGGCAATTATGTATGCAAGTTGTGCCAAAATGGTGTAACAAGATCCTTACATGCTGGACACCCGCTAAACTCAAATGTTAGTCACTTAACCAGTTCATTGACTGGAAAGTAAGAATAATCATGCATAAACACAGGGAAAATCTAAACCCCAAGGGAAAATATATAGAAATAAATCCTAATTTTCAAGTATAAAAAGGAAAACCAAAAGCCTTCTCTGAAGTGATTGTACTCTAGGAGACAAAATGTGATGCGGAATTCAAATTCTGTGTTCGTGATCAGAAACTGGATAGTCTCTGTGTTTAACAGAATATGCCCAGAAGCAAAATTGTTGTAATACACTGAAGTTTTCAACCATTTAGCATCTATTCCTGTATTACCTACAAAGCAGCTATGTTATCTGGCTAATATATGTTGTGTTTATTACTGAAGCATTTCTGTTTTCAATATTGGTTGAATGTAGCCTAAAAACAAACCCAATAATGCCCATTTTCTCCTCTTAAGATCTGAATATACTAAAACAGAGGTCCCCAACTCTTGTTCATGGGCTGGCACCAAGCTGTGGCATGCCAGAAATTGGGCCGCATGAACAAACGAAGCCCCATCCGTGGATGCAGGGAGCATGCAATACCACTCCCCCTCCGGTCTACAGAAAAACCTCTTACAGAACTGGTCCCTAGTCCCTAAAAGTTTGGGGGCTGCTACTAATATTCTGAGACCTCTGGAAACAATTCTGTCAGTTAGAAAGTTATGGGATGGAATATCTAATAAAAAGATTCAATTGACTGAAGGTGGAAAGATACTGACTTTGAACCAAATGATAGAGGGTGACTTTGAACTAAATGATAGTACTTTGTACTAAAAAATATTTTTTTAAAAAAATATGTATTTATTTATTAAATTTATATCTTGCTGCCATCTCACTGTCAAGCAACTCAAAGTGGCTTTATCATCATAAAAACAGTAATATCACTGTTAAAATGTTAAAATATTGAAAACAACAGCATTAATAGTTAACAAAAACTGGGTAAAATAGGAAGCTATTCACAAATTAGATGGAAGTGAGATCTTCTCAGTCTATTAACTTAATTTTACATCTACTAGATATAACCAATGGGAAGGTTTAGTTATAACATTTATTAATAACGTTGGTTGTACCAGCAGCATTTTCAGCTTCGGAGACACCTGAGATACTAGAATAACAACAACAATAAAAGTACTATTAGTTAAGCACATTATACACTGGCAAGCCAACATATCTGCGGGCAGAGGAAGATTTCCACCATAAAACAATCAATTAGGTAGATTTTCTGCTATAAGTAGATTTCATTATAGAAAGCTTTAATTCATAAGATGTTTGAGATCCTCAAAATGGTAAATAAAGCTTGCTGTTGCTTTTAACATATTTATTTCAGAAAATATATCTGTTTCTCACAAGACAAATTAACAGTGTGTATCTGTATATATAAATACATACAATATAAAAACAGATGTGAATATGTATACCAGTATTATTTAAATGCTGGTAAAATTCACCTATTAAAAACTTCTTCATCATCTATATGAATCTGTAGAGTTGGAGGTGGGGAAAATGACATAGGTTATACTGTTCTGTAATTCAGCTTTTGTAAAGTCATCTTTCGGATGAGAATGGAATAAAAACATTCACTACAGAGTCCTGGTTTTATTTTACAAAAAAAAAATGTGCTTGGAGTTCACCATTATTTCAAATGACATATGCTTGAATACCTGGCAGAGTGTTCACATATGCTTAATAGGAAAAACAGCAAGTACCTTATATTTAGACTATGTTATCTATAATTACAGAAGAGAAATACATATATTGATATAAGACATTTAATAAAAGTTCCAGGGGATTCATTAAGTAGTAAAAGGCATTATAGCGATGTTAGTCTATTGATAAAAATCTAAAATCCAAAGGTGGTTATTTCTTTATGCAACCAAAATGGCACAAAATAAAGATAATTAAATGCATTTGAAAACAGGTCCAGTTAATTCAGTTATTATTAAAACAAATAGAAAGCAGTAAATACAGATACAAAGCGATGATACAAAGGATCGACGAATCTTGGACCTATTTGTTGTAAGTTGTGTCTTCTGTGCTGTACACCTCAGATTTATAAACCATGGATTGCCTTGAGTTTATTATACAGGTGTGACTAAGCTTTTAAAGTTGAATCTTTCTCCAGTAGGGTTCTGCCTATGGCCCTATATAATAAGCTATCAAAATAGATTTAGAAAGAGCAGGCTGCTACCTCTCATTCTTCTAGAATGTTTGGAGAAGAAAGAGAAGACTGGGTGAACTGTCTTTCACCCTGTTGATGGATCAATATCTGTAAAATAAACAATGCATACACAATTATTTAGGAACAGACGCTTTGGAACTTAGATTCAGTAAGAAAGATTCTAGCTACTGTTATTGCCCTTCATGTGAACTGGGAGAGAAAGAAATAACACCATGGTAAAACTTCTTTCTCTTTTGAAAACAGACATAGCAAACTAATGAACAAGCATGCTGAAAAAGCAGATGTTGCTGAATTGTAAAGTCTGGCTATAACTTAAGATCACAATGTGCTAAAAATGAACTTAAGCAGAGACTTTGAAGAACAAAATCAAACTTCAAGTGATCAAGCAAAATTAGGGTAAAACCAATCTACGCATATACACAAGATAGATATGAGAGGAAGGCTACAAGGCATATGGAGAAATTAAAGTCTTCTTATACCTTCAGTTACTTATTGAAAAGACAAATCGAGGCAGAACTTAGGGCCAAATTTAGCTATCAATATTGTATCTCTTTTCTTTTCTAGTAACCTTTTCAGTCTCCAGAAGATACTTTTTCCCCATCTTGTTTTCCTATCAACTTTCAGGATCTTTCTTTTCCCCACCATGATTATTTTCAACTAAATAATTTTTTTATCAGAACATTGAATATGCCCTACATTAATCCAGACCTCTACACACAGATAACCACTTTTTCATTCTGTAAGTTCCATTAAAACTACAATAAATCCTTTCTCAGATTATAGTGGAAGAACAAAAAGAAATGTTGCTTGCAAAATGGAAGGATTTCCGAATTGTTAAGACACAATGGACAAAAATCTTCCAAAGCAGAATTATTTCCTCAATTTAACTGCTTAATCGTCATAAATAAAGCTTCAATGAGTAAAAGCTAAATGATTATGCAGTTAGTTTTGTTTTGTTACCATTTTTAAAAGAACTCTCTCTGGTCAGTTAAAATATTACTGCTTGGAAAAAGGATATATTATTTCAGGAAAGCAAAGAAAACCAAAGTTGAATTTTAGTTGTGCAACTGGAGGGGAGTAGGCCAGGTTAGGGAATGGAAGATGAATTGGATAGAACATGTACTGCTCTTCAATAGTCAGAAATACATAGAAGGGATCTACATTAGAAATGCTCTGTTCTCCATATGGGCAAAAAACAAGGAAAAACACTATTTAAAAATATCAGTCTGGCTCTCCATGATGGAGGTACCAACATACCCAAATGTGATAGATATGGGAAAAATTGTAAGATACCAAGGTATTTTAAATGAGAAGGGGAAATTTAAAAACAACAGGAATTGAATAGCCAAGGGATAAATTTAGCATGGTGGCCTCATGTACAGATATAATCTAGATATTATAAAGAAGTTAAAACATTATTTTTATAAAGAACCATCAAAATTGGATCAAATTTTAATAGGACTGGAGGAGAAACTGATTTAAAAATTCTATAATTATTTATTGACTATTAGAATGGAACAAAAACAGTATGGATATCTATTAGAAATTAAACTAGAAGAAGAACAAGTTAAAGAAACTATGATTGCTTGGGGGAAGAATTTTGGATATGGGATTGATTTAGAGAAATGGCAAAAATTGTGGTCTCAAAATTATAAAATGACAATGTCAACAGCATTTAAAGAAAATTTGTATAAGATGTTTTACAGGTGGCATTTCCCCCCGACAAGAATAGCAAGAATGTTCAAGAATAAATCCGAAAAATGTTGGAAATGTCATCAAATACCTGGCTCATATGTGGTGGACTTGTGCAGATGCGAGAAAATACTGGACTAAAATCCACACGTGGTTGGAAAAAATGACAAAAAAACATATAGATTTGAAACCAGAGATATTTTTATTTGGAATTCTACCTGATACATACAGTAAAGATTTAAAATATTTGATTGTAAATGTATTAACAGCGGCTAGTATTGTATTTGCTAAAAATTGGAAAAATGAGAAAATACCATCGCAGGAGGAAACTATTAAGAAAATATTGGAATGTGCTGAAATGAGTAGGTTGACATTTGAAATTAGAGAACAAGAGGATAAACAATTTTACAAAATTTGGGATCTTTTCTATCAATGGTTAGACAATAAAATATAATATTAAAATATGTAGAATTTTAGAAAATAATGAATATATAAAGATGTATTTCTTTTCTTTTTATTATTATTATATTTATAAAATGTTTCTAGATAGATTTGGGAGGATTATATGAATTGTTATAAAATAAGCTAAGTAAATTATAGTTATCTCGCAAAGTATATGAATGAACAAAATTATAGTCAAATGATTGATTAATAATGATACTAGGGTATTCAATTTTTGATTGATAATATGAGTTATCATGCAATGTAACTGTAATTGAAACTATGAAATGGATGCACAAAAAATTTGTAAATCAACCGACACACTGTTTGTACACTTTATGGAAGAAAGTTGGATGTTTTTATGTTTTGTTTGTTTTTGTTTGTCTTTAAAAACCAATAAAATTTACAAAAAAAAAAAAAGAATGGAAGAGGAGCAAGTAAAGGAAGTAAATGGGCTAAAAAGTTTGGGTATTCAATAGAATTGGACAAATGGCAAAAGTTGTGGGATAGAAACTATAAACTGACAACGTCCACTGCATATAAAGAAAACTTATACAAAATGTTTTATAGATGGCACTTTCTCCCAGCAAGATTAGCTAGAATGTTTAAGAATATATCGGCCAAGTGTTGGAAGTGCAACCAAACCCCGGGCCCATATTATCACATGTGGTGGACATGTCCGAAAGCAAAAATTGTTGGACTAAAATACACACCTGGCTAGAAAAAATGATAAAGGAACATATAGATTTAAAACCAGAAATTTTTCTGTTGGGCATCATACCAAACAAATACAGTAAAAAGAATGAATATTTAATAATACATGTATTAATAGCGGCCAGAATAGTGTTCACACAACGTTGGAAGAGTGAGGAGATCTCCACAGAAGAAATGATAATAACAAAAAATTTAGAATGTGCAGAAATGAATAAACTAACATTTGAAATTAAAGAAAAGGAAGACACTAGGGATCTGTTTTATTGATGGTTAAATGAGAGAAACAAGAGTTAGAACTTCAAAAACTACAAGAGAAAGATTAGGGTTGACCACTGTAATTTATTAATTTTAATTAATTTTGATTAGTACTAACAATTTATATGTATCAACATTATGAAGGAAAAGCACTGTTATTATAAGATTACTATTAGAGAATACTATTATTATTACCATGATGAATATTATTCAAAAGAATTGTAACCAGACAACACACTGTCTATATGGATTTTGAATATGTTGCTCTTTCAATTTATATTAATTTTTTAAAAAGAAAGAAATACATAGAAGGGATCTAAGTGATGTTTACCTGTAGAGACACAGTTCATAGTGGGAAACCAGTCATTATTTCTGCATGTGGCTATTGGTAAATGGTGTTCAGGATAATATCCCATATCGCAATTAAATGAAATCTCATCACCGTCTATGAAAGTATTCCCATAGTTATAAGTCACACGACCATGTGGCAAGTGTTTAGGAGGAATGCACTGTTCTAAAAAGAAAATAGATGCATGTATTTTTATTAAAAAATTTAAACACAAATCAAAAATTGACAAACTAATATAAAGTAAGAAAGAAAAGAAATAAAAGGAAAAGGAAAAATTGCAAACAAGCGAAAAAAACAAGAAAAATAGAAAAGAAAGAAAATACAATAAAATAAGTTGATTGAAATTTTTGTGGAAATTGAAAAAATTCTCAGGGTTTTGGGATTTTCTGGTAATTATTCTTTGACTACTCCCAATTTCTAAAAATGGATGATATAAATGCAATATATAACACATTCTTTTTTCTTTTTCTTGTTAGATGTCAGATAATAGAAAATATATAAGAAAACTAAAATATGTAACTCTTTGCAAAATTGTATTTAAAAGTGTCCAAAACTGGTTCATAAATTAATAAAGCAGAGATGTTTGAAGAATCCCTCAATTTGTTTTAAGAAGTTGCAGAACTGTTTTGCCTTTGAATTCTCTTCAGCCCTACAAATGTGTTATGGAATGCTAGTAGTTTTTTTAATAGATTTATCCTAATTATGATTTTAAAATAAAGTTAATATTATTGGGGCTTTCCAAACTCATAAAAGTGAAACTTAAAAAAGATGCACTTACTATAACATTGTGGTTCTGGATCCCAACCAAAATTAGTGCATTTGATTCTATCCCAATGCTTTTTATTTCTCGCCAGAAAACCATGATTACATTTGAAACCAATTGTTTGCCCCACTTTTTTGGGAAAAGAGACATCACTATAAAATATATTGGACCAGGATAGTGCTCCATTCTCTATAAGAGGAAAGTCACACTGTTTTCCTTTGAAGAAAGTAAAGACAAACAATTAATCAATTCCAAAACATCAACATATTCCACCCATTTTCATCATTGTTAGAAAGCTCTCTTGTGTGTCATTTCAAAATATTAGCTTAATATACTCATCATCAAAATGGATTACCCAACTTTATACCCCATAATGAAAACTTATTCTACTGATTTCAGGTGAACTTCTAAATACATTTAAGATTTCTTTCTTAAAGCTGAAACCATTATAGGTTTGAAACAGTCTTTGTTTTCACAAATGGAAGCATTCTGCAAGGAACAATTCTACTCAGGGAATATTAATGGTGTTTATCTGTTTCACTTACTTTCATCTGAAAGTCCTTTCTTGAAATCAAAAATCCTCCATGAATGGAAAGAGCACTTAGGCTCTGAATCCTCCACTCACCAATCTACCCATATTAAGGCTACCAAAATTGATTAATGGCAGTCTATGGTAGCCATCGTATTTAAAAATATGTTTACTAGTTCAACATATTTTTTATTTAAACAGTTGGAACCTAGGATATGTTATAAAATTCAATAACATGCAAATTAATTTCCAAATTTCAGGAAATTTCTCACAAAAACTAAAAAGCTGATTTGAATAACTGCAATACAAAAGATTATATATATATATATATATATATTTCTGTATAAGTAATCAAAACTAAACCCTTCTATATGTTATACTTTGGCAATTCTGCAAGGCTTCATATTTCTCAATCTTACTGTGCATATTTTATCTGTCTACTAAATACAATAAAAGGAAAAACACAGCAGGGAATAACACTCAACTTGACTGGAGTCATGATTATCAGGATTAATGAAAAATTAACGCCCAATTAGGATGTCATATTTCCTGTTCAAGAAGCTGTTGTTTTTTTATTCAGATTTGCATCACATGCCCATATCAATTTGAAACACCACCTTATAGGGACCTCTAAAATCTCTTTCCCAATTTAGACACTGGGAAAATTTGTATCACAGGAGACACTTAGATTCTGCAGAGAGGTACTATGGAGTGAGATTGTGCAACAACAACAAAGGACAGGAATAGGAGCAACTTTGTGGGATGCCATCAGGAACATTGGAAATTGTGATCATGGCTCATTGCAACATCATACTTGAGAGCCAAGCACCAAACACTCTAATTGTGATCATGTGACCACAGGGATACCATAATAGTTGCAACTTCACGAATCATAAATCCCTCTTGTTCGGTGCTGTTGTAATATTGAACAGTCACTGATTGAGTGGTTATTACTCAATAACTATCTAAATTTATAAAGAAATCTAGTCACAAATATTTTAAAATGCCAGAAAATGCCCAATGTCTTCATTCTGATGAAAACTGAACTTGCATAAGTGTTTTATTTCTGGAATTTTTCAACACTTAGGAAAGGGGAATGATGTTACAGTTATTTTACCTCTTTATATTTCTCTTTTTAATCCTGTAGTTATAATGTCTTTACCTTACACAGCATCATGCATTAAGCACTTTTTGATAGCTTTTTCTTCACTGCCTTTTTATTATTATTATTTTTGAAGCCTACATGATTCCTCTATGATAAAGGGTCAACTTTTAAACCAACTCAACCTTGTTCAAATTGAGCACTTTTCAAGTTAGCTAAAGAGCATGTGAGCGAAAATATGGATATGAAAAGCAGGAAGAAATATGAAGTCAGACTAGAATCTTCACTGGTTACCATATGGCAGTGTTTCTCAACCATGGCAACTTTAAAGCATGTGGACCTTGACTCCTAGAACATGGGTATCAAACTCACCATGTCACATTGCTGTCATGTGACGTTTGTGACTTTTCCCCATTTGTGAAGCTGGGGTGGGTGTAGCCTGTGCGTGACACATCTGGCCCATGGACTGCCAGTTTGACGCCCCTGTCCTAGTATTTCCTAGCCAGCTATGAATTTCCTAGCTAGCTATGAATTTCCTAGCTAGCTGATGAATTCTGGGAGTTGAAGTTCACATGCCTTAAAGTTGCCATGGTTGAGAAACACTGCCATATGGAATACCATGTCATTTCTATTTTATCCATGATTAAATGAAAATAGCAATAAAAGACCAACTTTGAGTATTGCAGAGATATAGATGTGTACAACTGAATACATTACTAGCCCTTAAGATTTGGCATTGAATTAAAAAAAATATGCAGTATCATGAAAACTACTTACTGACACATTTTGGATTTGGGAACCAGCCACCTTTGGTGCATTTAGAGATATTTTTATGACTTTCAAGCATATATCCTGGTTTACATGTTGTGTAGATAATGTCTTCAACGTTGTAACTCATCCACAGAGGGAAAAAGCTACCATTTTCTACTCGAGGAGCAGGGCAAATGACTTGTATGGAAAAATAGAAATATTGTTATGAAGTTATTATGTTTCTCTATTTTCTATCAACATTCTGTAGTTTTTGGTGTCCTATATAATACCTATGCTCTGACAAAATAATTAGGGCAATCTGTGGTTCCAATGCAAATACATGTAATTGGAAAACAACATCTAGAAAGGTGATTAAATTTTGCCCTTCTACTTTCTTGGGCTCCTTCCCTGGTTTATTTTTGAACCAAGATCCTAAAAGATATGGAGTTTTTTTTCCTCTCAGAGGACATGAAACAAACTGAACAACTGATTTTTCTCACAAAAACATTGCTGAAATATAATAATGCAGTTCCTCATCTTTCTGCATTATGCAGTTCCTCATTTGCTACCCTGAATTGTTATTACAGTTATGTTGCTTAAATTGGCATATGCAAAATGGTAAAGGTCTCCTAACAATTAGTTAAAAGCAAGGAATTCAGCAAATTTAGTCAGTTAACCTGAATAAGATTTTGGTTATTCTTTTCAAATAACCACAGATATGTTCAAATATCTGTGTATGATATTTGTTTGATTAGAACTGATGCAAGGAAACCAATATCTTTACTGAATACCCCTTGTATTTCTCCTTAAAAAATACTCTTGAAATGTTTTATTGGCATCATACTATTTTAATACCTGGTGAAGAGGAATTCAATACTAGTGGTGGCAGTCTCCTAGAAGTGATAGCAGCCGCAATAGAAGTCTCTGCACCATCAGAAGAACACAATACATAACACAAAAATTATTATGCAGATTCTTTCCATTGATTTTTAATGAATGTTGGTATCATATGCCACCTTCCTTTCTCATACACCAAGTTCTAGTTTGGAATTGTACGGTACTCACAGTTTAAAATTTATAATTCCCCTGATTATAATCAAGAATAATTTTGTGGAAAAATAATCTCATTTTCTCCAGTTGATTTAAACTCAGTTTAGAAATCACAATTGCCCTTCTATGCAATAGAAGGTTAACTCTGTCATGACAGATTTTTGGAAACAGCAGATCCTAATTTTATAGAGTTCTTCAGGACATTCAGATATTGTGTTCTTCCATTGTGTTTCTAAAAGGTAAATGACCGAAAATTCTTCTGCTTAAAAGCAGTTATTGTGTGAACTCAGGAAAATCTAAACAACAAATCATTTTCATTATACTATTCCTTATCTATGTGGAAAATATATTATCCTTCTACTTCTGAAAATCTGGGTAACTTGGATAAGTTTTTATACCACTCTGCTCCTTTTAGAAGCAAAACATGACAGGTAGTCCTCGACTTACAACAGTTTATTAGGTAACTGAAGCTACAGCGGCATTGAAAAAGATGACGTATGACCATTTTTCACACAACCATTGCAACATCTCCATGGTCATATAATCAAAATTCAGAGTCTTGGTAACTAGTTCATATTTATAATGGTTGTGATCCCCTTTTGTGACCTTCTGACAAAGTCAATGGGGAAGCCAAATTCACTTGACAACTGGGTTAATAACTTAACGGCAATAATTCACTTAACTGTGGCAAGAAAAGTAATAAAATGGGGCAAAACTCACTTAACAAATTTCTCACTTAGCAACATTAATTTTGGGCTCAATTATGGACCTAAGTTGAGGACTACCTATATAACTCTCAAAGTAGGAAAGTCTCTGTGGCTGCTGTGAAAACACACCAAATTATTCTTGAATGCCATGTACATCTGCTAGAGCTTTGATGTGTTTGATAAATCTGGGTTTAGGTTTGGTCCTTTGATTGTAAAAAATAAAATATGTAGATCAGACCCAGTAATATAAAGTGAAATGGGGGAAGTATATAAAAAACAGGATTGGGTTTGATAACAGTGAGGAATCTGAGAAACAAATAGGTCAAGGCATGGCAAACGGGAAACATTTTTAAATAGGATATGAGTAAACCTAAGTCATATGTAGGTTTATGGTGGTCCAAATATATAATCTAAATGGAAAGAAAGCAGCAATCTAGGTAAATCAAAGACAGGAAAAAGAAAAATATAACAATTAATTTGTTAAGGTTAAAATAAAGCCTGTTGAAATTGATTCACAATAACAGTACATTTACCAGAAGAATTACAGGAAGGTAAAGTTAAATTCCCATCAACACACTTTCTGACAGAAGGAGATACAATGGAATATCCTTTCCTGCATGTAAATTCTATTGTATGCCCATTTCTTATCCATTCTGAATGCCGTTGTCCATCATTCAAAAGAAGATTTCTATCATCAAGCTGCTGTTTTGTGAGAATACAGGGTGCTAAAGAAAATTGAGAAAAAATATAGATTGCCTTTGTGCTGGAAGCTGATATTCCTTTATTTTAATTATATTTCTTTACCTATATATGTATGCATTTAAAATAGTTATTTAATTAAAATACTAAAATACTAAAACTAGTATTTTCTACTGAAAATGATAGACAGCTTTACTGAAAATGATAGACAGCTTTCTCCTTCCTCAAGCAAATAAACTGTTGAAGCCACACAATGTTTTCAGGAACCACTGAAGCTGTATATCAGGGATGTCAAAATCACGTCATCACAGTGGTGTCACGTGACATATTGGAACTTTTCCCCCCTTCACTAAACCAGGCAGAGGCGTGGCCAGCATCCAGCCTGCAGGCCTGGAATTTGACAGTCCTGCTATATACACTTATTATACTGCTTGTTTTCAGCCATTTTCAGTGGTTCTTGAAAACATTGTATAGCTTCAGCTTTTCATCAGCTCAAGGAAGGATAATGCCTTCCACCGTTTTTAGTAATATGAACTCTATTTGTAAGTATGAGGCTAACATACCAAAACAAGTTAAAAACAGAGTTAGGAATTGAAATAATTCTTAACCCAGGACTGCCTGTACTCCTGTGCTGAGACCTATAATCATCATCAAATACAACAGAACTTTCTTCTGAATCAACCTCTATAGGATTGTTCTGGCTTCACCAAAGGATGAGGAAGACATTTCTTTTTAAAAAAGAAAAGATTCTGTCGGCTCAATAAATGCTCATGGCTCACCAGGATCTGAATCCAAAGCCAAACCAAACATCTTAAAAATTATGTTTGGACATGAGGATAACACCTTTTTAGGCAGATTTCAATCTACACAGAAAATTGCAGTTCTCTAATTTCAGTCTACATTCAAGAAGTATCTCTGTATCTACCTTATTTTTTAAGTAGACGACAAAACTGGTTTCATTTGATCAGAAATGGAACAATTTCTTATAAAGTAATTTAAAAATAAATAAATAGAATTGTGTATACTTTAAAAGTTTTGGAGTTTTTTTCAGAATTTATCCAAGTCTGCAAGAACAACACCTCTCCTTCATTCACTAAAGCAAATTTATATCTGTCAGGTTTCACGTGAGCCAAAACAAAGTAAGAGTGTGTCTTTATGTCTCCTGACATAAGAATTCAATCCTCAAAGTTAATGCTTCTTTTAAAGCACTTACAGTTGTCATTTCATGCTTATGGAATAAAGAGTTGAAAGGTCCAGAGCACTTCTTTGAGATAATTTTCAAAGAATGCACAATCTTATAAATAAGTATATTTTGTATTCTTCAATCACGTTTTTGGGAATAGTTTTTTTATGCATAGTTGTTATTATATTCTGTCTGTAATTTATTCTGTCTCATTTATTCAGAAGACCAGTTGCTATAAACCGTTAAAATTTATTTAACAACATTATATGAAAATCCAGTACCTAGGTTGTTTGTTCATTCATTCATTTGTATAAGCAGCAATAAAATTATTTTTATTTGTATATAAAAGTATTATATACTGCTCCATTCTAGAGATTCTGGGCAGATTACAGTCATAATACAACCAAAAAATAAGCATTCAAAACCAACAAAAGTAATTCAACAAAAAGCATTAAATCACAACCAGAAATAGTAATATTTGGAGATATAGAACTTTGTGCTTATTTAGAAGACAATATTTTACTATGCAGGAATAGCCAGCAGTGCCTCTGTTTTCATTCATTCATTATTTATTTATGCTAATTATCTGCTTTTCTTTATGACAAGTAGTTTTCAATTCGCATGGAAAATGATTCCTACAAAGTGGTCACATTATAAAAATTTGCGCCTGCACAGTGATGTTTCTATGGAGAATAAGGTTCCAGCTCAATGAAAATAGGCAATTAAAAATTTTAAGCATAAATGTTACAAAGTTAGTTAGTTTACTTTATTAATTAGCCCATGGGCCATATCAAAGTGCAGAGTACCGAACAAAAATTACCAAAATCCAATAAAAACAATTTAAAATGGAATTGGAATAAATACAAAGTTATGAAATATTGTATAACCATAAAAAAATAAACCTATTTCCAAAGTGCACCTGCAGTCTCCAGTATTTCTGCTGTAATTCTTCAAATGAACCTCTTTCCTTGAACAGTCTTTCTTTCCTCTGTTTTGTATACATGTATATACAATGGTTAGCATCTTCAGCAGCTCTCCATATGTAGCCTCAACTGCCAATGTGCTAGCCTCAATTGTATACATGCTAGTCTTACATTAACTGAATTTTGACTTGAATTTGACTATGCAATCTGGTATCAATTTATATTTTGTATTATTTGAACTCCCACTGATTGTGATCTACCTATATGTCCAGCTGGTTGTTTATTCCATCTTCTTTTTAAGGAACTGCTCAATTATTCCTTTACTTACATTACTCTCAAGCTACACTTAAGTAATCATTTCATCACATAGCCCACTTACCGAAACACTTTGGTGGTGGTATCCATCCTTCTTTTTTACATGTTATCCAGTCAGACCCTTCCAAATCATACCCAGGATAACAGTTATATTGTATTCTGTCATTTTCCAGATATTCCTTTTGTTTATTCATTTCAATTCTTCCAAAGTCAATTTCAGGTGGGCTGCAGACTGAAGTTACAATTAGCAGCATGCAGACAATTGTTTTTATTGTCTTTGTTTTCTTGGCAGCACAACAAATGCAGCATGATTTTCTTAAGTTAGATTCCAATTATTATTCCTTCTCCTAAAATTCATTCATATTCCTGTGCTATTTTTCCTAAAAATTGCCACATTTTTTAAATAGCATCTAAATCTTCAATTGGTCTTTATCTCAGTCCACTATTCCATCTTGTTTGAAGGCTTCCACCATTGTTCCTCTGCCAAAGAAGTTCCCTATCAATAACCTCAACAATTACAGACCGGTGGCACTCACTCCTATTATCATGAAGTGCTTTGAGAAATTGGTCTGCTGGCACATCATTTCTGGTTTTCCGCAAACATTTGATAAACACCAGTTTGCATTCAGAAAAAATAGATCTACACAGAACACTATATCCATCACTCTTCACACTGCTCTGACTCATCTAGAATCGTGGGAGGGCTATGTGAGGATACTTTTTGTGGATTTTAGTTCTGCGTTTAACACAATTCTTCCACATAGACTGGTGTCTAAACTTCTGGACCTTGGGCTTTCTAATTCAATCTGCCTTTGGATTATGGATTTCCTGTCTGGCCACTCACAGAGGGTCAGATTAAGTAATCATACCTCTTTAGCCCTTATTCTTAACACTGGTACGCCACAGGATTGTGTGTTGAGTCCCTTACTCTATGCTCTTTATCTGCATGACTGCATTCCCACTCATGTTAGTAATACTATTGCCAAATTTGCAGATGATACAACAGTGGTGGGACTTATCTCCGGGGGGGGGGGATGAGTCTGCCTACAGAGATGAGGTGGACCGATTGTTTTCGTGGTGTGGAGACAACAACTTAGTCCTCAACACCAATAAGACCAAGGAGCTTATAATGGATTATAGAAGGAACAGATCAGACATCCAGCCCTTGCTTATCAATGGAGACCGAGTGGAGCAAGTGGCCAGTTTTAAGTTTTAAGACTGCCCACATTGCAGTCCTGGTCAAAAGGGTCCAGCAGAGATTATGCTACCTGAGGCGTCTCAGAAAACAACAACTGAATGAGAAACTGCTGGGGACCTTCTACTGCTGCACCAAAGAGAGCATTTTAACATACTGCACCTCTGTATGGTTTGCCAATTGCACAGTGGCAGATAGGAAAGTACTCCTTAATGTCATTGCCCAGAAGATCATTGGTTGCCCTCTCCCCTCTTTGGAAGAGTTTTATAGCTTCCGCTGCCATAAGAAAGTTCAAAACATTCTCAAAGATCCCTCTCATCCTAGGAACCCTTTTTTTGAACTATTACCATCTGGCAGATGGTACAGAATAATAAAAACAAGGACAAATAGGCTGAAAAACAGCTTCTATCCCAGGGCAGTAATTCTTTTGAATTCTTCTGTAGAGTGCAGTGTTGGTGTGGTGTTGGGGGTTTCCAGTTCAATGTGTAAAGGGTGAAGGATGTGTGTTTGTGTTTATTTCCATGGTCGTGGTCATGATGTGCACTGAAGATGGTGTTTGATTTCATTGTACGAGGTGCAATGACAATAAAGTAAAACTAAACTAAACTAAACTAAATAATGACCCTCTTAGCTCACTGCATTCCAATGTTTTTAATATTGACCACTCTGCTTTTAGTACTGATTGAACTAACAAAGGTAGGATATAAATAAATAGATAAATAAGGGGGGTTTTTTTGTTAAAGAATACAATTGTTATTGTCGCTATTAGCATGAGATTGTCAATATGCTATATGCTTATGAAGAATACATTTCTATGTATAGTAACACCAAATGAAAATGGCATGTCACAGCATTCTAAGAAGTATAACATTTTGCTGGGCAACTTTATAAACATCTGTGTATTAAACCACTGTTCTATAGTCACTGGAAAATTAATAATGTAGCTGTCGGAATTTTACCATTTTAAATTTTAAAAATGAAAAACTGATTTTTTTTTCTACAATTCTAATTCTTATAGGAATTTGTTGTACAATTGTGAAATAATTTATAGAATACTTTTTGCCACGTGTGTGTGTTTGGGTGTGTGTGTGTGTATTCTCATATAGCTATGTCCATATTAAAATATTGAGAACTTACCATGGTCAGAAGTACATAATCCTAGAAGAAATGATACAACGCACAGCAGCCAATCCACCATTAAGCTCATAGTAGTTTAGTAATTATTTTCAGAATGTGGTCTTCTAACTTTTCCAACAAATAATATCTTAAAGATTCTTCTTCTTCTTTTACTTCACCAATTGTTTCCCTGTGTGTATGTTTTACTGTTTAGTACATAAAGTCCCTTTATTTTATATACTATAACTTACCTAGAATTTATTTCAGATGTAAAATCCACTTAGAATTATCTGCTAAATTGATTAGTTCTGATTAGTTCTGAACAACAAATGGCAGACTGCAAAATTCAACAAAGAGCCTCTATTCAAATCTCAATTCTGAAATATGCATGGGGAAAGGGATAGGGGCTACTGAAATGTTTAGGAAATATCAATGCCCTTCTCTGAAAAGCATCCTGCTAAAACTTTCACTGTAGTTACAAGTTTGAATCTTCTCAAATCCTCATTCTTTCTCAGAGTTTTTACCACCTAGGATATGTATCTATTTTTATTTTAAATAAAACAATCTATGGAAGAATTCTGATATTATTTGTCCTGCTTCAGTAGTATTTCTTGAGTATTTCTAAATTAGCCTAATTCTATACTTTCAATCAACTGAACTTGAAGTCTGTACAAAGATGATAAAATGTAACTAGACTGCTATTTTCTGAAAGAAGACAAAACATTTTTGGTCATATCATTGTGATGGCACCACCCCAGAATGTTCAGAAGACTGACGGGTTCTTATATTTAACCTTACAGATACTCTATTTCTTCCAAGAGAAATATTTTCTTTTGCTTTGCTAATTTGAAAATTACTGATACTTTTTTTCAACTGAGCTAGAAAAGTTTAAGCTTTCAGCATTAGGCTAATTTTAAAAATTAAACGTAAATTAGTTAAATTTAATATAGGTAAATTTAATATTAAATTTAATATTAGGTAAATTTAATATATTTTTGTGTCTGCTTTGTTTGTGCATGTTTTTGGAGGAGCTCATTTTCTTTTTGCTTTCTTGATTCTTCTTCCGATAAGCTTTAGGAAAACCTTTGCAACCTAGAGTTAAGACTGCAAAACTAAAAGTTCCAGGTCAACACACAATATAATCTGGTACAAACATAACTCATAATTACTTTTACACTGTTTTTTCCTTCTTCCCACAGGTATTACCAATGAATTATGAATTTGGGGCAGTGGTGTGCTAGAGTTGGATTGCCTCGGCTGGCAAGAGATTGGTTTTGTAACTTTGTGAGTGTTAAAAGCAGAACTGAGCCACAATGCTTAGTGCACCGATCAATTGTTAGTCATCTAGTACCTCAGCACAGCACAGCAATAGAGCTGGTATTTATCTTTACCAGTTTGGTGTTTGTTGCTTTATTTCTGATAGTATAGCAGATTTTGTTTTCTGGCTGTTTCATAATCAGAAAATTGCTTGGGACATGATTATCTTGTTTACTAATTAAATGAATTTTTTTTCTTTTTGTACATATTTTACAAATCATCCACTCATGGGGAACTACCAAATGTTGGATGCTTCCACATGGAGACCTTCCAATACAATTGATCAGAAGACATTCAACACTTACTCTTTCCTTCCTGTCTAACAGATTTTCTGTGGGATTGGAAAAGAAAACTGGTGTAAAAAACAACGAAAAACCACTAAAGGAAACAGTTCCATGAATGAGACCAAGTGATTGCATAATAAAGCACCCTTCTTCAATCCACTTTTTTGCTGGTCCACTTTGTGATGTCATATAAAAGCTTTTTGCCTTTTCCCACTTCTGGTATTCTTAAAAAGCGATTCATACTGTTGGAGTCTTTTCTGAAGCTTGAAGATGAAGAGAAGATAATTCACTTTGCTTCTATCCTGGCTGTCAGAAACAGTTCCTTTTTATCCCCTTAGTGGTTTTACCTTTTACTTTATTACTACAAGGGAATAAATGACCGATATTCTATTCTGAATAATTCTCCCCCCCCCCCTCCATGTTTCCATCAGGTTGCTAAGCAATTACTTGAGTAAATAACTGACAAGCTTCTCAGAAGTTGCTCATTGGCTACCACCACATGTGCAAAGTGTAACTGGTGAAAACTAGGTGAGGCATTTCCAAATTTCATAATGTGTTATTGTGACAGATTCTGGTTGCAGATATGAGTTGTAGCATTTTGTTTTAGATTAATTTTATTTAACTGTTTCTTCAATATTCAGGCACCCTGAGTTTGGCATGGAATTGATAAGAGCTGGATCTCTGAATATGAAAGAGAGACTTTTACCTTTGCAATGTGTCTTCTTTGCCCTCCCGAAAATATGAATCACCAATTAATTCAGGCAAAGTAAACAGCCTTATTCAAGGGGAGTCTCTTTGTATAATACAGAAACAAATGATACATACATTTGGTGTACGTGATACATTAGGAATCAAAGAATAAAAGACATTGATAATATGTGTAATTTTTAACAATAACAAACATTGATTCTACCTAACTTCCTGCAAGTGGTAAATTTATGGCTTACATTATTTCATCCCAGCAGGTTTGTTTCTTCCTTATATCTTCTTTAACATTAACATATTAGAACAACTTAAGCAGTATGAAATTAGAATAACAATATGCAGGATGCTTTTAAACATATCTCCCTTTATACAAATCCCAGCTTTCTAAAAATGAGAGTTTTTAACAAGGATAAAACCTCATGCGATATTCTATGTATTGTATATAACATGAATTAAACAGATTATGGCAAACACAGTAATCCTCACATTTCCTTGATGAATTGTAGCTTCTTTAATTACCACCAGGTAGCCTTAGAATTATTTTCAGTACAATATGACCTGCTCTGTCAGTTGCTATCCTAGTAAACTCCTAAAAGTTTTAAAGCAATTAATTTAACATTGTTTGTTTTACAAGTAAAGGGCTTATTTTTAATTAATGACTGAAAAAATAATTACACAAGTTATCTGTCACATGCACATTTTTAAAATAGAAACCACAGGCCAGAATGCTATAAGGATCATTTATATACTAGTGTTAGAACACATAGCCCCATTAAACTAATCAGAGGCAAGACTAAACCAATCTTGGGGACAGTGTGTAGGCCCCATACATTCTTGGTTCATGGTGCTCATAGTGTCTCAGTAGTTTTCACAGTGCCCTTCAATTCATGAACTGGCTTTGATATCTTGGAGCATCATGGCACAGTTTGGGAACTAACTGTGGGACCTCACCTCCTTCCTAAGAGACCTCTAGGGGGCGTGCATAAGCGCACCAATTGTGCCTACTATCCCTGTCCTATTGTTTTTTATTTTTCTTATATCTATCTCATGTATTCAAAACTATATTTATTCTTATACCTGTATCTTGTAAGTGATTGACAAATCAAATAAATACTAAATACTAAAACTATGAGCTTAACAGAAACAATGAATTCACAAAGGAGTGCTGTGGGATATTTTAAATTTTTAAGGAAAAATTGTGATTTTCGATTAATAGTTTGTGCACTACAGATGTTGAATATCACTGTGTTTCCCTTTAAAATATCCTGCAGTTTTCTATGGAAACCTGAAATGCCACAGCATATATTCTGAGAACAGCAGTTTCTATGTACTAGGATTTTTACAATGGTCTACAGTTGAAAGATGAATTGGCAGAGTAATATACTGTAATTCCTCCCTTAGATGAGATTTCCAGATGGTACACAACATAATAATAAATCATTAGTTATTAAGAAGGGATGGGGAATTATGATTAAATGGGAAACCTGAATAGTACTTGTACTTCTGAGCAGATAATAACACATCACAGAAGTTTCACTTCTGAGCATTCTAAAGACCAAAGAGGTCACAAATAATCACCAATAGCAAGAAATGTCAGCAAGCAGTATAAGAATCAACACAATTTGTCCCTGTATTATTTATTTCTGATTTTTAAAAGTACCTTAAACTCAGGCAATTACATGCCACCGTACAAGAAGAAAGTTATGAGAATATGTGTGAATTTTGTATAGATGAATTAGGAAATATTTAACTCTATTATACACATCTGGGATACACCCATGGTCCCTTTACACATTGTTTCATAAATGGTGATGATAATGGATGCTTACGAAATCCTGGTTTACACTCAAACTCCATCCAATAATCAGATGCTCTCAAAGAAGTTGACTTAGTAAGCCCCCTCAGTTGAATATTGTTACGGTCCATGCCAGCTTGATTAGCTCTGCAGGTTTCTGAAGAATAAATAAATGTACTTGTATATTAGATTCATATAGCATGCTAAAAATAGTGTTGAATAATTTTTGGTTTTTTTATGTCTTATGTTAAATTATGGATGGCAGTGAACTTTTAGGTATAACACAGATAAATTGAAGGGGCTAATAATCATATCAAACATGTTGATTTCATCAGACTAATAGAATTGCTGTTCCTGACAATTAGATATTTGTGATAGTCTTAGATTTTGGATATTGATTATAATGGTCTTAGACTCTGATTTTCTGAAGAAACTTATTCATTGAGTAAAAATTACTATATACCCTGCTGCAAATAAATATATCCATTTACACTATAGAATGGTGATTATTGTAACTATGCCCCAATTTTGAACTTTTAATTATTTATTTGCACATTTGTATGTGTGTACATATAATGCATGCATCCAATAAGCAATCCTGCAGCTATTGCCAAATAGAACAAAAGAAATAAACAATAGATCCAGAAAATTAAAAACAAATAATAAAATATATCCCAAATTTATCTTAAAGCATTACAAGCATCAAAAGCACTCTATTCTATTATATATATAAAAGCATCTCTTGCCAGTGACATCTACCCGACCCATTAGAGGGAGGAGGCAGGGAATGCTGCAGGTCCCACCCATGAGGGAAATACACCTGGTGGGACCAAGAAGAAGGGCCTTCTCTGTGGTGGCTCCATCTCTCTGGAACATCATTCCCCCAGAAATTAGAATTCCCCCCTCATTAATACTATTCCAAAAGGCACTGAAGACCTGGTTTTGCCAACAGGCCTGGGGAACCCAGAGAGGGATGGAACCCATCAAATGGCTAGTGTGACCCGCTGTTGTCGGGGTGGAGGGGTGGGAGTTGATTTTTGTTTTGTTTTGTTTTTTGTTTTCCCAAATTTTGTTCTATTGTACTTTACTAATTTATTTGATTCTTTTTGTTAGCTCTTATTGTTTTTGTTTTTATTTTTTGTTTTAAATATGATTTTACATCGTGTAAGCTATCTTGAGTCGCCATGGGCGAATAGGTGGCAATATAAATCAAATAAATAAATAAATAAATTAAATCTACTACTCATAATATTATTTTAAAAAATAGAAAAGGCATTAAGAATATATGGCATATTAAGATGTGGTAGCAAAATGGGCATGACAACTATGGGAGAAATATAAAAATATGTTTTAAAACATAAAGTACACTGAGGTATAAAAATGTGTCTTAAGGATAATAAAAATGAAGCTGACTATATTGACTGGGGAAGAGAATTCTAAGGTATTGGTGTTGCCATTGAAAAAACCCTATCTAAAGCATGCTTCTTTGCAGGGTAGAAAGAATATAAGAGAAAATCGCAATTTTTATGCTTTTGAGTTATATTTAGGGTTATCCTTTTTCTTCGAAGGATATTTTGTCATCACAATAGGATTTATCAGTTAACTGTATACTTACGAACACATCTTGGAACACCTCTCCAATGACCATTCTCACACATCGCAATTGGAGTGCCCTCCATTTCATACAGCCTGTAGCACTGATAGATCACAGATTCACCTGATAAAAATTCCTGTCTACCATTGCTTAGAAGCATTGCATTACCAATAGCAGGTGGAGGACCACAAGTTGTTGGAATCTCTACAAGTAAAATATTTAATAAAAGTATATATATTAGACTGACTAACAAGTCAGCCCTGGGTAAAATTGTACTATACAAAAGTATGGAATGAACAGAATGATTTTTTTTTACTCTGAAGGCCAATTTCAAAAGACTTTCTCCTATTTATCATTGGATTCTATATTATATTCTGTGACTGTTACTGCTCCTATTCAATTATTATGAGAGAGTATAGCCAAATAATATCTTAATTATCATTATTAGACAAAGATATATTTTATTTTATTATAAACAGTAATAAATACTAACAACTATAAGAAAATTCCTGCAAAGTTATGAAACTGTACTTAAAACAATATTAAAAATATCTTGTTATTAAAAATCATCTTAATAAATTAATTCGAATCCATCCTGATCATGAAGTAGAGTGATTTCCTCTTTATATTGCAAGAAATATATATATCTTCTGTGCCATTATGTCTCTAAATTTTTGGTTTTAAAATACTCCAAATTTAGGATACAATAATCTATCATATCTCAAAAAGTGGATCTTTCCAGAAACTCTCCATTTCTAATACTTCTGATCTCCCACTTTATCCAGCATTTATTAAGTAATAAATTATAATTTCTATTTACCACTCCCCATTTTTTGTCCATTTCTGTTATGAATTCTGTCTGGTATTAGGACATTTTTTTTTGAAGAAACCATAGTTCAGTTACAGAATTAGTTTCTATTCCAGGAATCTCAGGTTAACAAAGTCACAGATTATAGTTATTCTTCATGAGTGTGTGTGTGTGTGTAAATATACTTCTTTCTGAATTAATATTGCCAGGTATAATATATGTTTGGCTCTGCACATTTTTCTAAAATCAAGGTTTATTTTATTGTTTTAAAGTATTTTTTAAAAAATAAATTCTTAACTAATTAATAACATTGAATTAACATAATTAATCACATTTGTGAAAATTGAAACATTGAAGAGTTAGGACATTTTCATAAGATATAACAAGAGTATTTTTCTTAACTGACAATATACAAAGTTGATGTCATCAAGAGTTCCTATATAAAGATAAAATATTGCACTTTCTAAGATCTACGATCCTAAGAAATCCACAATACTCATATAGCCCATTGCCATTTTATTAGCATGAAACAATAATATCGTAACTTATACTTTAAAGATATGCTCTTCACATACTGAAAATATATAACATATTGGATTGGATTTAAATTTAGTGGAATTCTGTCAATAATTGGGATTCCAATTGTAAAATCCTCCAGTGAATGGAAATCACTGATATAATAGTTACAATGATAACCTAGAAAACAGAAAACTGTGAGTTCTAGACCAGCCTTTGGCATGAATGACAGCTGGATGACTTTGTGCCAATTATTCTTTCTTAGGCCAACACATCTGATAGGAGGCAGGAGTATCAGATGTTTGCCACCTTGAGTTTGTATATATATATATATGTTCTGTCTCACTTGTAGCCAACAAGTGAGAGTCCAAATGTCCCAAAGAAATAAACACGAACAAATAATACCAGAAACCACAGAGTTAACTTTTCTCTGTAATCGTCATTGGCAGCTTTCCCAGAAACTGTTTTCAAGCTGAGATAACGAGCCGCAAGATAATTCAGGAACAGAGTGCTTCTTCAAAGCTGCGCAGTAATTAATGAAGTTTGATCCGGACAAGGATTGTTAACTAACATGCCTCCTTATATTCCTTGGAGGGGCGTGTCAGTCTCTCTAATTAGTCTCTGACTTGATGTTTCTTTTCAAATTGTTCTTGACGTCTCAACCTGCGTCTAGTCCTTGCATCAACCCAACATTTGTCATCACTCAAGGACTATGGTATGTTCTGTGGATCAGCTGCTGACACCTGAGGCATGATTGAAGTGGAAGGTTCTGGAGAGGATGGTGTCTCCAACACTCCCTCATCCTCCTGGCTCACATCTGCATCTCTCGTTAGAGCAGGCTCCAATTCCAATGCCAAACCTTCCTCATCACTCAAACCTGTGTCTTCTGATACATCAGACTCAAAGCTCACAGCAGGCTCAAACCTTCCAGTCACAACATTATATATATATATATATATGATATACACTATGTGTATGTATATATGATAATCTAAGTTTGAGATTGCTGAGTTTGAGATATTTTATTGTACTTGCTCAATTTTTTTAAAAAAGCATACACAGATGATCTCTTATAAAGTTTAGTGTTCTTCTTAAAATTCATTTTTTAATATATTACAGGGTAATTGAGCTTGTTTCTTACCTGGCTCAGTAAGTAGATTGACCAAGTCATCATATGCAACTTGCATCTGCTGGGATACTAAAAGAGCAATGCAGATTGCAAAAAGGAGGTTGTAAATTTCAATTATATAAAGTTTTGCAGAGAGAAGAACTTAATTTCTATTAATGGAATAAGTTAAGAATCTTTTTCTGCACTGATAAGCTCTGCTATTTCATTGGGAGTAAAAATTCTTGCCTGTCATTTTCTGCAAAATGTAGATGCAATGGCCACTTCCCATTCTCATTTATAGAACTGTTTGTAAGTCCTTCTATGTATCAGAAAGAAACATTTCATAGTAACGGATTCCCACCTTTCCCCCACAAATTTTTTTTCAGTTAGACTATTTTGCACCCGCATTGAAATCAACGAATGTAATTATTATGTAAAACTTAATTTTCATTAATTTCAAGGTCTGGAACCATTTCAATATTGGTTATGCATCCTTTCTGTGAAACCACTTTCCTTTTTCCTTTATAGTGCAGATTTTCTCCCCCAATTGTTTTGGAAAGGAGAAGACTGCAAGTCAGGAATAGTAATGGAGCTTTTTCCTTTAGCATGACTCAGAGCTAATTGAATCAACAGCTGTGTTGGTGTGTGGGAACGGCCTTGGAGGTTGGGCAAAGAGACACAGCCAGGGGAATGGTCAGATAGAATGGAATGGAATAGAATAGAATAGAATAGAATAGAATTCTTTATTGGCCAAGTGTGATTGGACACACAAGGAATTTGTCTTGGTGCAAATGCTCTCAGTGTACATAAAAGAAAAGATACATTCATCAAGACTCAAGAATCATAAGGTACAACACTTAATAATGGTCATAGGGTACAATAAGCAATCAAATCATACTAGGAAACAGTCAATATAGATCGTAAGGATACAAGCAACAAAGTTACAGTCATACAGTCACAAGTGGGAGGGGATGGGGGATAAGGAGTGATGAGAAAGTTAATAGTAATAGTACTGCAGACTTTGTAAATAGTTGGACAGTGTTGAGGGAATTATTTGTTTAGAAGAGTGATGGCGTTTGGGAAAAAACTGTTCTTTCTTCTAGTTGTAGATGAGAGAAAGGGAGATTGCACGATTGATGTTGGCACTACAGGATAAATCGGTTAGAAAAAACAACCAGATCAGCTGAATCTAATTTATTGTAATTGGCTATATTGGCAGAAACTTGTAAGTACAGGTAATCCTCAACTTATGACTACAATAGGGACCAGAATTTCCATTGCTGAGCAAAGTCATTATTGTGAGATGCATCCAATTTTATGATCTTTTTTCCATGGTTGCTAGGTGAATCCCTGCAGGTATTAAATAGTCATGTGGTTGTTAAGTGAACCAGTTAAACAAACCCACTGAGTTTGTTTATCATAAGAGGGCTGCAGGGAAGGTCACAAAAGGCAATCAAATGATCCTGGGATGCTACAGCCATTATAAATACATACTAGTTGCCAAGTGCCTGAATTTTGATCATGTGGCTGTAGGGATGCTGCAATAGTCCTAAGTGCAAGGACCAGAAGTAAGTCACTTTTTCAGTGCTTGGTAACTTAGAATAATCATTAAACAAATGGTTGTAAGTCAAGGACTACCTGTAGAAAAATATAATCCTTCCTGTCTCTTTTATAGCAAGAGAAACTAGGAAGGATCTTTTCTGAGCCGCTTGCCTTTTGTATTATCTAGCTATGGGCTAATCTGTCTCTTACCTGACTATTCCCTTTGCATGATCTTTTTGTCTAGCCTCCCAAGGCCTTTCTCACATACCATTATAATTATACATTCACCTGCCTACTGTTCTTAAGCACTTTTACAATGACTTCATACTTGCACACAACAAGTGCTGTGGTAGGGATCAAACAAGGAACCCCGTGAGAAATGTCAATCTTTTAGATAGCTCCACGCTGCACACCACAGCCCAACATTATTGTTTAAAAGCAGTATCTGGTTTTCCTATATATTCCGAAACAATTATTCAAAAATTGAATAGGAAAAGAAAAAACAAACCACTCTACACATACACACAAAGAAATCCTGGCCCTTGACCACGTGTGACATACCACTTCACACTGTGTATTATTGTCCCACCAACTGTGGCATTTGTCCTCAGAGAAAATATTAAGTGCCGCCCTCAATCATGGATTCTAGTAATATCCTTTAGTGGATAGCTGTTATAAAAATAACAATTCCATTGTAATGTGTTCAACAGGGAAACAAAACAAAAATATTGGTGACTACTTGAACCTTTTTAACGCTTAGCAAAAGTTATTTTGCAATAAATTTTTGCAAACTTTACTGACTTCTTCAAAAGCACAGGTTTGTAATTGGAATTAGAATATAATGTGTATGCTTGCCTGGTCAGAGTACAAAATTGGTTCCGAAACCCAGCCAAATAATTTTGGCATGTGAAAAATTTTGCAACCAGTTTTCCCTGTCAGCAACTAGATGTAAGTGCAACAAATTACATAATAATTTGTTGGTCTTTCAAAACCTTCTAACTAAAATAGCTTTCTCAATTTCAGCCAATAACTGAATTATTAATAATTAATAAAAATCAGTTGATGATTGTTGATGAGAACTGATGAGAATCTTCAACAAAGTCTTTCAGTTACTTACAACATAATATACCCTCTGCATTTCATTTTCATCTAATCCGATTGTTTACCAATAATTTAATGATAAACCTACACATACTTGCCATAAGCAATTATTGCATCTGTTAAAGTGGAATATAGAACTCAAAATTTTAAAATAAGATAAAGGTTATTTTAGAGGCCACAACAGATGTACACATCCATCCTTAATGGTGAGGTTCCTGTCAGTTTTGTAACTATTGCAAAATTTAGAAAGGGCTATCAAGTACCATAATGTATTATATTTCAGCACATAAACTGAATAGACATAACTGAGCATCTAACCACAATTATTTAGCCAATGGATATGAGCTGCAATATAAAGAACAATTCTATTATCTGATTTAGATACAAATATGGTCAATCACAATTTTCTCATGACATATTCTTGTTTTACAAGACTTAATTTAAAATGATTGATATTTTTCTCTACTTTTCCTAAAAAGTACTAACAAAACCATTTGCCCTGCAAAAAATTTACAACCTTTACTTCTCCTTGAATAACTTACCTTTCTGGAGAACACAATTTGTCCATAACAGGACAAAAATTATATAGCTAAAACAGCGCATATCAGTATTTCAGAATGTCAAGATCCACACTGTATAGTTGGAGCTTTTAATCACTGACCCCAATTACTGTCCTTGGGAAGGTTTTTCAACTCTGGATCAACAAAACAGATTATTTACTTATTCATACTCCAAAGTCCACAAGACTTCTGTGTTTATTAGAAACCTGCATTATAAAGTATTAAGCAATATGCTTACCCAAGACAAATATTCTTCAGAATTTGTCAAAGGAAAGGACTATGGGGAACAGACTTTAAATTCCTAAACTAATTCATTATACAAGAAACCCCACATGGGATTTTCTGAGACCCACACATTAATATACAAACATGTTAAATGATCTCTGCCAAGCAAGCATGAGGGGATGGGGCGGGGGGGGTCATTTGAGCAAAAGAATATTGGGAAAGACTGATTATTCTATATTTTGGAGAACTAATTTTTCCAGTTATATTTGTGTATGTGTGTTTACTGCTGCTTACCAGATACAGTACACATACATATTCTAAATAGGAATCATCTTCTGTTTTAAAAGGGGATCTGTTTTGCCTTTAAAGCTTCTCCTCATCCTTAGTTTAGGGCTTTCCTTAGGTAAAAAAATAAAACAATGGAACAAGCTGTAGCTGAGAGAGTAAGGCCAATTAGAGAATTAGAAATTACTCTGCACAAAGAGCAGAGTAATAAAATCATGTTGTAAGAAATAGTTTTAATACTATTTAGTACTATTCCTCCTCTTCCTGAGGAATAAGTGATGGGTTGTCTAGAATTTTAGGGTTCATTTTTAGCATTTTAAAGGTGATATTTGGCATTTTTAGCATGACAGTCTAGGCCTTTAAAAAAAAATAATAATCCAACAATTTTTTTTTCTTAGTCCAGGCCATTTCTTTTGGTATGGGAGAACTTGTTTTTTCATCACTATACAATAGAGAGTGTATTCTGAAAGTCCATGAATACAAATTTAAGTTTTAAGAAAAATAACAATCCCAGCTGAGAAACAGAAATGTAACCCATAAATATGCTGTTGTAGATTGAGCAATGAGAGGCTAGACCAGGGCATGGATGCAACAAGACTTTATTTAAGAAATAAAGGACTGAACGTGTTAGCCCTGCCTGGAGCAGGCTCACAGCGAACAGCGGCTGACCGAACCCTGCAGCTGGCTTTTATAGCCGGCTGTCGAGGGAAGCCAGCCAATGAGGGGCAGCAAACGCCCCCGCAGCATGAATGGACCTGGGTGGGAACTTTGGCAAGTTCCAGGGACATAACACCCCTTCCCCCCAGATGCGAACACGCATAGTCATTTAAATAAGCGGGTGGTCTGTGCTGGCGCCCCGAGCGTCGTAACTCAGGCGAGTTACCAAGTGTCTCAGAGTTTGAAGAAACAGGTAGGGTTGGTGATGGGGTGCGGACTCGCTCGGAGGTCTGAGCTGGTACCGGTGAAGTGCTTCTGGCCGGCGATGCCGTGGCCCCATCAGATGGTTCAGGCGGAGGACCCATCGGGCAGTCCCGGTCTACTGCCTGCTCCCTCGGCTCGGGTGATGGTGGCGAAGAGCCTCTGGGATGGTCTTCGATGAGAGTTTGGTGAGGCACCTGGGGGCTGACCTGTGCCCACGATCCAGCACTGGCGAGGGTACCCTGGTGCTTCCTTAGCTGGTCCAGGTGCCTTCTCCAGATGCGGCCGTCTTCCAGCTGGACTCGGTACGACCTGGGACCGGTGATGGCTACAATCTCCCCTGGAATCCAAAGTGGGTCTCCGGCGTAGTTCCTTGCAAAGACATGTTCCTGCAAGACAAAATCTCTGACCCCCGTCATCGAAGCAAGAGGGGTGTCAGGGCAATAGTGAGGGTGGAGCCTATCCAACACAGTTCTTAGGCGTCTACCCATCAGAAGTTCAGCTGGGGATTTGTTGGTGACCATGCATGGGGTTGAGTGTTGGCTTAGTAAGAAGCGGGAGTGTCTGTGATGCCAGTCTTCTTTGCTGAATCTGGCTAACGCTTCTTTTGTGGACCTAACGGCTCTCTCTGCCAATCTGTTGCTGGCAGGATGAAAGGGGGCCGTGAAGATGTGTCGGATGCCAAGATTGGTGGCAAAGCGGCTGAATTCTGTTGAGGCAAACTGGGGGCCATTATCCGAAACTATGGTATCTGGTAGCCCGTGTGTCACGAATAGACGGGTCAAGGCCTTGGTAACCGCTTGCGTGGTGGTCGTGGATAGTTGGGCCACATCAATCCATTTAGAGTATGAATCCACGACCACCAAGAAGGTTTTGCCATGTATTGGACCCGCTAAGTCAATGTGAAGTCTTGACCAAGGCGCGTTGGCGCTCTCCCACTTTGTGGGGGTGGTGACTGGAGGGGATGGTCTGGATTCCTGACAGGGTTGGCAAGAGCTTACCCACTTGATGATGTCGTCGTCCAAGCCAGGCCACCAGACGTAACTCCGAGCCAACGCCTTCATCCGGACGATGCCCGGGTGGCCCTCGTGTAGTGCCTCTAAGACTGGCGTGCGAAGCGAGGCCGGAATGACAACTTTGGTGCCCCACAACAGGCAGCCCTGCAAGCTAGATAGTTCCTGTTGACGGGTCTTAAAAGGTGTGAATTCGGTTGCGAGGTTAGTGCCTGGCCACCCCCTCCTCACCCAGTCCAGTACCTGGGCGATTGTTTTGTCCGTCTTGGATTTGGTGGCGATGTCGAGGGCGGTGACAGGAAGGTCGAGCTCGGTGACATCGAAGATGGCATGGACCGGGGCCGGGTCCTCAGCTGGAGCTGGCAGGGGGCAGCGGCTGAGGGTGTCTGCGTGGCTTAACGTTTTTCCTGGGTGGTGGATGAGCTTGTACGAGTATGCCGCCAGGAACAAGGTCCACCTCGTCATTCTGGGAGACAACACTTGGGGAGTCTGCTTGTCTCCGGATAGAAGGCCCAGGAGAGGTTTGTGGTCCGTGATTAGTTCAAAGTTGTGGCCAAAAAGGAATTCATGAAATTTCTTTACCGCTGCCACTGCGGCTAAAGCCTCCTTGTCAATTTGACTATAATTACGCTCTGTTGCTGAGAGCGTTCTGGAAAAGAAAGCGATTGGTGCCTCGGAGCCATTGGGTAGTCTGTGGCTTAAGACAGCTCCAATCCCAAAAGGGGATGCATCAGCTGCTAGTACTAATGGAAGATGTGGGTCAAATTGTGTAAGGACCGCGTCTGATGTGAGCAGTGATTTGACTGCGCGAAAAGCGGTGTCTTCCTTGTGTCCCCAGTGCCAAGGTGATTTTTTATCTAAGAGCCTGTGTAAGGGCTCTGCTACTGACGCTTTGTGAGGTAGGAATGACGCATAGAAGTTCAATAATCCCAAAAAGGCTTGTAGCTCGGCTTTAGTGGTTGGTGTGGGTGCCTCATGGATTGCCTTGACTTTGGATTCTAGGAGGTGAATGTCTGAGGCATCAATTCTATAGCCCAGAAAGTCCACCTGTCTAGTGGCAATGGCACATTTCTCCCTTTTTAATTTGAGGCCATGCTGTCTGAACCTGTCTAACACTGCTCTGACTCTCTGGAAGAGTTGGGGCCTGTCCCTGGCCGAGACCAATATGTCTTCGAAGTAGGGTACTACGCCAGGGAGGCCCTGAAGTATACGCTCCATGAGGGATTGGAAAATGCCAGGGGCAACACTTACGCCAAATTGGAGACGCCTGCACCGGAAAGCACCCCTGTGGGTCACAATAGTTTGTAATTCGGCTGTTTGGTTGTCAACAGGGAACTGTTGATACGCTTGTGACATGTCCAATTTGGCAAAAATGTTGCCAGGCTCAAAAGTGTGCAATAAATGTTGAATGACCGGGACTGGGTAAGCGCTAACTTGTAGAAAGCGGTTAATTGTTGTTTTGTAATCCGAACAAATTCTCAGACTGCCGTCCTTTTTAAGGGGTGTGACAATTGGTGTCTCCCATTTGGCAAAGTCTGTCGGCTCAATGACCCCTTGCTTTAATAATTTATCCAGTTCCGCGTCCAGTTTAGGCCGAATGGCGAATGGGACTCTACGAGGTTTCAGCCGGACTGGAACTGCTTGGGGGTCAACTGCAAATGAGATGGGAGTACCGTTATAACACCCCAACTCATCGCTGAATACGTCTGAGTAGTCAATGAATAAGGAGTCAGTGTCAGAAGCTGAGACAGCATGGACTCCTGTTAACCCTAGGCCGAGGTAGGGGAACCAATCAAGCCCCAAGAGACTAGGAAGGTTGCCGTTAACTACCACTAGAGGCAGGTGGCCTTTGAAAGCTTTAAAATTAACAAGGAACTTGCCTTTGCCGAGTACTGGAATGTCCTTCCCTTGATAGTCCCTCAAAGTGAGCTGGCACTTCTGGAGCTGGTTTCTGGATAGTCTGGGCTGGATTTTCTTGAGTGTGCTCCAAGAGATGATTGAGAGCGCTGACCCCGTGTCAACCTCCATACGACAAGGTTTACCTTCTAATAAAATGGAGAGTGTGATTTTACTAATAGAATGACAGGTGTGGTTAGCATGGTAGCAAGTGTGACACTTTAGTACTTGCCTTTGGTGCCCAGAATGGGGAAAGGAAGGAACCCTTTGTGCGGAGTTGTGAGCAGCCTGGCAGACTCTGGCGATGTGGCCCTTTTTGTGACAATTGTTGCAGGTGGCACCCTTGAATCTGCATGAAGCTCTCGAGTGTGGTCCGCCACAGGATAGGCACAGGATGATATGTTTGGGTGCACTGCTGCTATCTTGCCTGGTTCCTACCTGCGGTTGCTTAGCCTGGGTGAGACGGTGGATGTCTGTTTGATCGTTGGGATCGTCTTCGTTGATCACCTCCTCCGAGTGGATGGTGGCACAGCTTTGTTTGGGAACTGACCCTTGAATCTCAGTGGCTGACTGGGTTGCCAGCTCTGCCGCCAAGGCTTCCTCGACGGCCTGGGAGAGGTTGAGATCCTTCCTGGCAAGCAGTCGCCTTTGGAGGTGAAGGTCCTTGACCCCGCAGACGAGCTGGTCGAGGAGCATGTCATCTAAGTAGTTCTTGAACTCGCAGTGGAGAGCTGCAGTTCTCAAGGCGGCCATGTACTGATTGATAGTTTCCCCTTCAGCTTGCTTCCTC